AGATTATGACGATATGCTTTGAAACTGAATTAAAGATCGAATGGCCAAAGATCTTGCGTACCATGCGCTTGTTAAACAAACGAAATGAGGCGTCCATATATTTGTGGAACTTTATAGAATTTGTCGTTACTCACCGGACGGCCCTATATATCCAAATGTTGCCATTCATTGTCCACAAGGTTGGTCAAACGCCTATTTCCGATCACGAAAGAACTATGCATAGTATCATACGTGAGAAAATCAACGGCAATGCTACGACCGTGCCTAAATCTCGTGGAACTCTCCTGACAGACCTAATTCACGAGCTGAAGGATTTGAAAGAGGAAATAGAAAATCGGCGATTCGGTTCGTAACACATATCGTAAACATATCGTAATTTTCAATCGTTTAAATGATACAAGCTGTATAAATCATAACCGATCGTATTATCGACATGCGTATCTATTCAGATGAACTACAACCGGAGCCAAAACGAAGTGTCGCGGATATGCATGCGACCGAGGGTCAACCTCGTACTCAGAGACCATCTTTACTGATTGAACTATTAACCGGCGATTTGGGATCTCGAACTCACATGAATCGTACCCCAGCGGAAACTCCGATATCTCATTCGGCCGTATCTCAATCGATACCTCATTCCGCTCTACAAACGGGCCACTCGAGTAGCGCTGTTAAGATATCAGCACCTATGCAAATATATACCCCGTCGAATGGTACACAGATTGCTCGTGGTACGTATCCATTTATTTCTGATAACGAGTCTCAGTTTACCATTACTCAATTTTTTATTATTACTTGACGTTCCATTATTAATACTAGGATCTATTTCGAGTGTCAGCATAGGATCTTCGACGTTACGCGAGGCAAATGACATGGCCATCGGAGAATTAAACGGCGAACGACAAGCCCCCACAGGTATTCCATATATCTTTTCGAGCGAGATACCTTAATATATTATTATCGGGTATTGAATTCTATCAATGCAGCCGCAAGCCTCTGCAAGCAAATATATTTAGCCATTACGTCGTGAACATAACGGGCCAGTATAATAATTACACTTACCACAGTTGGATCGAGCCATTGTCTATAGAACACTGCGGTTTAAATTTCGTTTTCTCAAGAACAGTCGGTTTCGTCTTATTTCTAAGCGTTTAGCTTTTCATGGCAATCCGCATCGTTTCACGTTCACTCCGTTACAGCGAGGCTTGCAACGAGGCTTTTTCTCTTTAGAAAGAAAAAAAAAAAAAAAACGGAATCTTCAAAATTAAAGACAAAAGAAAGAGTTCAACCCGAAAAGAAGCGTCAGGAGTGTTTTCTTATATCGAGTGGCTCGTCGAATGTTCATTCGAATTTAATTCGTTCGTTTGGGCCTCTCTGTTCGGTCGTATGATTGACACATTTATCATTGCGTTGCCTTTCATTGCTAGCTAGGGAACGAAGGTAAGCAGACCGATTCTAAGTCAATAAATTCTGATACGATCTACGATCTATATATTTATACCCCGCTAAAATGTGTAACTCTTTTCACGCTTTTCATTTTTCGCAATCTTGTCATACCTTGCTTCCCTTTTTATTTCTTCTTCTTTTCCTTTCTTTTCTTTTCACCTCATATACAATACTATCCAGGTAAATGTTGCCGTGAAACGGCTTGTAACGATGTGTATATAATTATTTATACGACGCTATAGCTTTCATAATGATCGTTGCCAAAGTCATTTCACGGTCACAGTCAATTTATAAAATATCACTCTGTTTTTTGCTCCCCCCCCCTCTCTCTCTCTCTCTCTCTCTCTCTCTCTCTCTCTCTTTTTCTCTATCAGACAATTTACATAGTAAATTCGACCTCACCGAACTTATTACATAACAGTATTTAGACAATGGTAATGTCCAACAGTTGGTACCTCCTATTTATCGTTGCGTAGTCCGTTCTCTACTACGTAGTTGCTTCGACTTTATTGCGCTTTCTTTTTCTTCTTTCTAACGAATCACTGACATGGGTCTCTATCAAAATGCATATGTTATCAATTATATTTTGCATTGTACTCGTGACAAACATTCTTAATGCATCTTCGTTTTCTCTTTCTCTCTCTCTCTCTCTCTCTCTCTCCCTCCCCTACTCTCGAATGCTTATCATCATTCTTATTAACGACAAGAATTATACTTGTATATACAATATTACTTGCTTTGAAGCGACCCTATTGCTTTACTTAAAGCACACGACACGAAAACATGCTTTTTAAATCAATTGCGATCGAAGCAACACCGTAGGGATTACTTATGGGAATATCCATTTACACGTCTGTCATCTAACATTTCTTCGTCGTATAATCCCAAATTCTGTTTTACGTATGTAACGACATGAAGTATCCCGGCTTATTAGCATTAAAATACGGTTGGTACGGTTAATAATCGATAGGACTACCGATAAATTGGGATTCTTTAGAAGGTCTAGTCTTTATATCTCAATTCGCGGTTGATCGCTTGATTCGTTCGTTTGTCATCTCTCCCCTCATATTAGATGTTCGATGTGGCATGTTTCAGATAGATCCCAACCATCTTCTACTAGCGATGAACGTAACCATGTTAAGCCTCATCCTATATTACTTCATCAAAAGGCGCCAAAACTGCGCTTTGTATCTTCTGTAGAGTATAGAAACTCATCAGGTAAATCCCATCTCCCTGCTTTATTTTGATACGTAAATTTTAGACCGGCGATTCGTACGGGAGATGATGATTCCGTTTTCCTTGAATAATGACACGGCACAAATTATAATTATACACTAGTGCCAATTTTGCATACCGTCAGTTATCCTGTATTTAGACGTATGTCGATAACTTAAATCTTCTCGATCGATTCGACGTCCTCATGAAGATTTTGATTATGCAAAGGCAAGTAACTTGTACTCTAACTTTTAATTGTCTGTCTGTTAGATAAATAGATCTTTTCAAAAGCAATTTTGATGATAGTCGAAGAAAAAGGTATGTCTTTGCACTTAACGATACTTTGCACATACATATCTACATGCTCTAATACTTGGTAAAATATCTAATCTAATCGTGAGAGTGTTAGATAGGGGAAAAAATATATATATACATATATGTGCGTATATATATATATATATATATATATATATATATATATACATAAAATGTATTTGCATGAAGACGATAGAACCTAAGAAGAATTAAGAGTAGAGCACGAAGAATTAAAAACACAAGATCTTTTTTCAAGTACCAAAGTTCAAGAAACAAAGTGATTCTTCCAATGATTGCTTATAAAACTTTAAAGTAGTAAGAATATAACACGAGCCGCACTAATCCTAATTTAATAGAGTGAACTGTGAACTTTATTCATACGCATGTATATCATGAATCACTATCCCGTGTATGGATTATTTGATACCACTGATTATAATTATCAATATTGTTGGAGATATTTAACGTGACTCAATCTTTTCTTTACTCTCTTTGCTACATGTGTGTGTGTGTGTGTGTGGGAGCGTGTAAATATATGTATATAAATATTATATATATATATATATATATATATATATGATGGCTTTGTTATATATTCGGCACATGGTGCTTCCGCTTACTGTCGATTCTTAGTTGACGAGAAAAATTGCGTGAACAAAGTTTAATCGAAGAAGAAACAAAGAGTCTCGCGTATATAAATAAGATAGAGATAAATAATCAATATGATTTAATAAAATTCATGCCTGTTAATAAGAGATAAATAACTCAACTAGAGCTAGTGTGCCATGTATTAAAAATTCTGACATAATCTCGATTGTTACGTTCAAATATATTTTAAAAATCTATTCCAACATCAGCATGAGTAGATAGAGCGTAGAATAGATTTGTACGAGGATACGAATGTAAGAGGTGTAACTGGTGTGTCTTGTTAGGGGAGACTGTAACGAATCAATTGAGTCCGAGCAGTCCGAACGAAGACAGCTCAGGCGAGTCCCGTCCAGACAGGCCTCGATTGCAACGCTCCATGGGACAAAGCAAGAGAACGTTCCGCCTGAGAAAGAGTCGAAAATCTCACGTTGAGGTACTATATTATAACGTTATTCATTTAAAATTAAAGATTAATTAAGCGATCCTTTATCGATAATTATGTAAAGCTAAAGAAATAATACACGATAAATTATCTCTATAAATTATTTTATAACAGATGAAGCAAGAACAAAAGGATGTGCCAAGCAACCATAATACAGTTCAGGCACCATTGTCTTCAGCAATGGAGCCCTCTGTCTTTAGCATACCTTCTGACTCTTCCTCGATTCGCTCAAGGCGTAGCTTGTCTATTCGACAATTGGACGCTGATAGGGGTAACAATATGGATCAACAACAATTCCACGGGTTACAACTTCAGTACCACCACCATTATCACCATCATCACCTTCATCCCCAAATGTCGGACGTTTCTTGGGATGAGGACACTTCAAGCACATCCGGTTATCGCGAATCCTATAGCATGCACCTGGAGAGCGTCAACAATACTCATGCCCAACCACCGCTGGCATCGCCAGATTTAAACGACATTCCTTCGACCAGTAGTACCACCACTAATTACATGGCCTTTGACGGTAGTTCGCCCGATTGTTCAATTAACGGCAGTAACGGAGAGAAAACTATGTCCCAACATTCTCTTCTTATGGTTTTCCCGAATCAGGACGAGGATACGTTAATATAAATGATAAATATCAGTTTTCTTAGACGTTCTAGTCCTAACACTTTATCTCTTGCCCCTAACGACGATGTGCAAAAGAAGAAGATAAGCGCATTAATAGACAAGTTATTATCAGTTAAGTTATCCGAGATCATAATATGAGCGTACAATACAAATGTTATATTTCAAGTGGACGGTGTTCTTTAGGTGTCCTAATTTAAAAAGTAAACGAAAATGTATCAACAAGTTAACAAATAAATACAGGAACGGGTAGGAAAATATCTAGGATGTACTCGGAATGAAATAATCTTAGGTTAAAACCTGAGTTAATTGATTAAATTATATATTTCTCCGACAGAAGGAGATAAATATTACAAGGATTTAGAAGATCGTATACGTTTCATGTATTCTCCGTTGTGCGGAAAGACCAATTTAAATTATACGAGCGATAATAGCCCAAGTACGTCTCGTCCAAGTATTTGTTATACTCATAAAATATACGCACACATACGGTGAATTCTGAAATGACGATTAGGCTGGAATGGCCTAATATATGTTTGTACGTGTTGTTGCTGTATTACAGCATACATATGGGAGACGTTACATTTCAGAATAAAGATAGAATGTATGTACCTGCTGATAAATATTCCCATATAATAACTTGTTTCTATCTTTCTCCCTTGTTAGAGTATTTTATACTCTAGCAAATAAAAATTTAATTTTCTCCGAGTGAATTGTGCCGAGGTAGATCGATACTAAGATCTGCTAAGACGTAAGATACAGCTGCAAATAAAGCTGTTCCCATGTCAAGAGAATCTGGATCTTCCACCAGCATAGTGTCCGCGTTACTGTGATGATAGTAAAAGTATTTATCGTTTTTGTTCCAAAGAGATCCACCAGGGACGCCAGCCTTTATCCAATACTCTATATCGGGTCCAGCATTTGGTGTTCGCACTTTCATCTCTCCCAAAGGGGACATAAGTCTTCAATGGACAGATAAATTTCTGATAAACGTATCAATATTCGTGGAATAAGATAATATAATGATAATAATTTACCCCAAAATCTCTCGTAAAACACATCCCACGTATGGCGTTCCAGTATATTCTATACCCAAAGGAATAAATGTTCCAATGTCCGATTCCATCACAAATTGCAAGTTTCTTTCTTCAGCTTTGTGCTCTTTTATGTAATGTTGCGCTCCGATTATTCCCAATTCTTCGGCAGTCCACATAATCATCCTAACGTATCGAATTATTTTAACAACATTGTTGCTTGTAAATGTATTTATTATTAATTACCTGATAGTCCTGCGAGGTCGATAATTGAGCTGTTTCAATAATTGTAAAGCATTCCAGGAAATAAAAGCACCACCTCCATCGTCCATCGCGCCATCGCCAACGTCCCAGCTGTCTATATGTCCTGACACTACGACAACACCTTCTGGCTTATCAGTACCAGTTAATTCAGCCACGACATTTCTCGATTCTTTATCAGGCAGATTTTTTGCTTCCATTTTCAAACGTATTACTATGTTTTCACCTGTAAAAGGGAACGGAGATTACGAAGAAGGGCTTGAATCGAGGAACGTGCGTCACAATACACACATATTAATACTCTTGTAACTTTGTTTACCTCTATTCGACATCCTTCTCAAAAGCATGGCATCCTCGATCGTAATACAAGCCACTGGAATCTTGGTGACGTTCTTGGCATACGTCTGCATGCCAGTATGAGGTGTGTACAGCGATAACGGTGTCACCGATCTAATAAGAGCTGCTACTGCGCCGAATTCAGCAGCTTTCGTTGCACCAGACGAACGATATTTCACAGTTTCACCGTACGAAACATATTTTTCGTTAAATACGACTATTTTGCCGGGTACCTGATAGAGAGCCATGAAAATGGCTAAGTATTTGTCATTATAGTCGGGACGACCTTTAGAAAACTCTTTTATTTAGTACCTCTTTTGCTCTACTTTTGAGTTCGGCAAAACTATTTACGACAATAGCACTAGCTGTTATCCCTTCGTCCGGAGTACCAACGCTATATCCTAGTCCTAGGATGGAAATGCTCTTATTTCTTGGCCGTAAAAGTGTCGCAGCTTCGAAACCTCTGAAACGTTCTCTCGGAAGAAATTAACGAAATGAAACGAATTTATCTTTGTATTCTTCTCTTAACTTTGTCTACTTTACATACCTAACCCAATGAGGTACTTTGACAATTTCACCGTGAACATTTTCCAATTTATATGACTGCGATTTATTTAAAACATAATCGATCGAATCTTCTAAAATTTGTGTGCCGGATAATCTTGGGCCAAAGTTATCTACAAAATCAGCCAACTCTTGCCACGTTCGTCCCTTAAAAGTACCGTTGAGAGCTTCGTTTACAATATTATGTACCAACGGTTCATACGCTTTAATCTCGTTTTTTAAATCACTCGGCAAACTACTGCATTCGTCTACTTCGTTATCTTTCGTCTCTGCCTTTCCGATTCTTTGCGATAGGAGCAATATACAAAGAGCAATAAAACATTTCCCGATAATCCGCATCGTAACTGTTCCGCCCTTCTCTCCCAAGTGTTAAGTTATTAATTCAATTATCTGCAAATACTCGCGCACATATATATATATATATATATATATGCGTATATATAAGGAGAGAAAAAAATTGAAGTCAATTAGATAGAGATAGAAAGAGGCAGCCGATAACTAACGCTGCGTTTTATTTGCCTACCTATTTTTATGATCCTATATTAACAAGACATCGTAAAAGAGCTGACTACTAATGGGAGACAGCCACTTTCCACAAGAGCTCAATATATACTACTGATTTTCTCTGGAGCAAACTGTGTGATTCACCGGACATATTGGATCATAAATCTTATACACCTCCCTTGACATCATCCGACGTATACTACTATTAATCGAACTATCCAATTGACATTTTATTATCAAAAATGTAAGATCCTTTAATCGATAGCTTCCCGACCGTCAGTAGTTTGCTGACTGTTGGTACCTTACCAACCAAGCTTGGCACAGGTTTATGTCAACGATAGATTTAGTTCGAAAAACGATCACCGTTCCTTCTTGTGTTATATCTATATTTATTCGCGTCTATATAATAATTATCTATGGACCGACGTTTAGACGTACGGTCAGTAAGATCGCGAAGATTTTTGCCGTGTCACAGTCACGAAAGATATCGGAGTAGAGAATTACACGGTGATCGCGGTAGGGCGTTCGAATAAAATGTCGGACTACTTCGAAGAAATGGGCTGGACGCCGTTGGGTGATGGCGAAGCACCGAATCATCTAATACACATGGCCCGATTGCTGAGAGATTCAGGTATCTGGGGATTGCTCGATCAAGATGCAAGATTGCCGCCACCTGCATCGAAAGAAGCACTGAATACTCTAGAAGACATTGAAATTTCTTCGAGCGAATCAAAACAGTGTCCCGTTTGTATAAAAGAATTCGAAATGGGTAATTTGGTAAAAACTTTACCTTGCCGTCACACTTTTCACAAGGATTGCATTATTCCGTGGTTGGAAAAGGTACGCAACGACGTTTGCGCTTGGTCAAACGATGATTTCGATGACTATCGGAATAATTTGTAACCTCTACTTTCAGACGAATTCGTGTCCGCTCTGTAGATACGAGCTACCGACCGATGACGAAGACTATGAAATGTATAGAAAGGAAAAAAAGAGATCCGTACAAAGGGAAAAAGATCTCGAGACTTTACATAATTCTATGTTCATGTAGCGAATTTACACGGTTAATTTACAACAAGATAATTTATGTTAGCAAGTTATTCAACGAGCACGAGTAAAGATATTTTTATAATATCTTAACGTCGGTAATATTTGCGATTGTGACGTTTTCGACGGTCGGTTAATTTCACTCGAAAAAATACTTTTCTCTTATGTCGTATAAAAAGTATTCTTTTTACATTGTCTCTTATATATTTATGCACTTATTATAACGCGAACGAAATCAAAAGGTACCATTGATAAAAATATTATGATAACGTTGAAGACGTCGTGTAAGAAAGTAATTAATTTGTAAGTTTAAAAATAAGGTGGCCAATAAAAAGCCAATGATTATTAATAGGAAATAATGTTTATTATACAGTGTACATATTTATTAACTTCATTTATTTTATTTCTGTTATAAATTTTATATTAATAATTGTATTATGTTTTGCCGAGCGACGAATGCCTTGATCAGTGTGCGCTTAGACTATAACAATCTCCGTAAAAAGTATAGAAACTTCTGGTTTTTATTTTGTTCATTTATTCTTTTTTTTTTCTTTTTTTTTTTCTTTTTAATTGTCTCTATCTCTCATTCTCTCTTTCTCCCGTTATTATAGTTGTCCGTTTTTAAACCCTGGAACGCGACCACCATATGAATCTTTATACCAGCAAAGAGAATCGCCAAAATATGTCGCGCTGAAAACGGCATAATCGTTCGGCATATACAAATAAATAATAGTACTGTCAAAGTTAAAGTAATTGGCGATTTATTTTTTTTTTTCTTTTCTTTTCTTTTCTTTTCTTTTAATTTATTTTTTTTTTCTTTTTTTTTTTTTATTCTCGTCGATAATGCCATTTCCAATAGAATGGCACGTCGCCCCGCCGCGCCACAAAATTCTTCCTTTTGAACGCGGCCTTTTCCAAAATTCTTCCATTTGCGAATACTTCACCCTAAGGTTAGTATCTCGTTTATTAATTATTTATATAATATGCGTAATAATATAAATAATGTCGTTAATATACCTATAATGATTACCGTTTCTTTAATAATAAACTATCTGAATGGTACATTTTTTTTCTCTGCTAGTGGCCATGTCCGTAATAGCTAGATTTTTTTTTCTTTTTTTTTTGTTTTTTTTTTTTTTCTTTTTATGTAGTCTGTATGCGAGCTCCAAGTGGGATAAGATACGTCGTACAGAGAACTTTTTTTCGGCTCGGCGTATATTATACATAAGAAAGAACGAAAACGAAAAAGACGAACCCAAACAATGTCCGAATACGGGAACACGTCTGTGGCGCGAAAATACGAACGTCGGGGAACCTTCCTTCGTTTATCGATACGTGACAACGATTTCATTAGAGTTATCGTTCCTATATCACATCCAACGATTCGTCCTTTTTTTTTGCTTCTTTATCCAAGTGTACAGAGACAGAAAGTCCTAATGAGTTTTTTTTTTTTGAATCCACGTTCGCGAATCCACTGACTTCCTCCATCCTTTCGACTCTCGCATAAACTTGCGCTTGGAACGAGACGACAGAAATTAGCTTCAAAGTTTCGTCATGATATCGTCACACGATCCTCGACGAAATTCAGGTTCCCACGAGGTACGTTCAAAAATTCTCTACATTTTATATATTTCACCGTGTCCTAGTCTTGATATAGTATAAATGTACGACGTTGATTTATGTCACCCAGGACTTCTTCTTGGTGCGCGTGTCACGTGTACGTGGATGTGGACGTGGACGTGGACGTGTGTGTGTGTGTGTATGCATGTTAATTCCAAAGTGTGTCTCTTAATGTAAATTCCTTTTCTTCGCTTTTTTTTGCTTTATTTATACTTCAAACACGTTGTAGTATGCGTTTAGCCTCCTAACGTAAGGATTAATTATCTTTATTTTATATAATGTATTTTAGTATCTTTTTTTTCTTGTTTATAATAATAATTATAATCGATAACCATAATAATTGTAATAATAATAATATTAATCATCATCATCGTCGCGCACGTGTACATGATGCGTGTGCCTTTGTCTGTCTCTGCTGTCTGTCTGTCAGTATGTGTGCGTGTGTTTGTGATTGTGTGCGTGTGCGCGCGCTGTGAGTATCGTGTGAGATCATAGCTCGCGATGATGCTGTTAATTCGTCATATCGATATACATTATTAATATTATATTACATGTTCCTTATGAAAATAATAATTCAAAAATGGCATGTCACGCGTTCGCGCTTTCATCGTTCCCAAAATTCCGGTCCGTCGTGCAAATCGGTCCCGCCTCTCTCGCCTCTTTCCCTCGCTCTTCCGCTTTGTTGTCGCTCTTTAAAAAAAAAAAAAAAAAAAGAAAAAAAAGAAGAAAAAGAAAAAAAAAGTCCGCCGACAATTACGTTATAACAAATCTTCATTATTTATTATTCCTTGTACCTAACGTGCACGTGAACCGGTAGAATTTGTCCTCTTTTCCGTTCGATGCACGAGACGAACTTTCTGATATCCTGACATTCTCTTTAATCATAGCATCCTCGTAGCATCCCCGAGTCCAAAGGCAAGAAAGGAAAAAAGGTAAGTTCTCATTATTATTGTAATAACAAACTGTTTTCGTGCACGTCGCACCACTTCTTAAAGAAACATACCGAAGGAGCGTAGTTCGAGTTCGGAAAATCGGCTTTGAAATTCCACCGGTCGTTCACGGCACGGATCGCGGAAACTTTATCTTCTCGTCGAGGAACAACGACGATTTTCTCTTTCTCCGCGAAAAAATTGCACATCCTCTCGTGGAGGGTAGGAGGGAGCGAGGGAAGGTGGAACGGTAGAAGTGGGAGGTTAAGAAGGAAGATAGGAAGAAAGAAAGGAAGGCCGAAAAGTTTTAACGAAACGCGCATGCTTCCCCCATCCCATGCCTCTTCATCTTTTCTCCTCCTCCTCCACCTCCTCCTCCAAACCTCTACACCCTCTCACCCTCTCTTTCTCCTCCCCGTCCTCCTTCTTCTCTTCGAATCTCATCGACATCAAACGTCTTATTTCTTTCTCTAAACACAATTTACGCACTACATCATTTATTAAGTCCGCAAATTTTATTATTTCTCTTTTTTTTTTTTTCTTTCTTTCTTTCTTTCTTTCTTTCTTTCTTTCTTTTTCTTTCTTCTAATGCGTGTGTCGTGTCGCGTGCGCGATCGTCGTTTCACGCTATCGTGCCACCCTAAAAGCTCGACACGCTGATATGCTAAAACCTCTTCCCCTCGCTTAATTGTTTTTTTTCATTTTTTTTTTCTTTTTTTTATTTTCTTTAACGATACTACTACCATATTTTAAGTTTACTTTTGATCTGCGTTCGCGCGTTTCGGTCGCCTCCTTCCCCTCTCTAGCTCATGCTCTCACACGCACATCCACTTCTTCCTCTCTCTCGCTCTTAATTTTATCTCAATCATGAACGCGTATAAATGGCGACCATCGGAGATATTCTCGTGTCTCGCTAGATTGCGTAGTCGCGCGCACAGGGCCTTTTTTCTTTTCTTCCATTTTTGCACAAGGATGTCAACGAGTTAGAAAAATAATAATGGATAGCGACAATATGTATGCTTAGTTATACAACGAAGCGTAATAATGCTAATAACAAAAATAATCAGTCAAACAATTGCGACCGATCAATGAAATATCGCCCTGCGTTTTTCTTCTTTTTTTCTTTATCATATTTAAGGATTTTAATACTGTTGTATTTTGTTTATAATAAATAGTTACATAACATTTCTCTCTCTCTCTCTCTCTCTCTCTCTCTCTCTCTCTCTTACTTACACACTCACTCTCACTCTTTCTCGTTCTTTTTGCTATTTGGTTCGAAGACCGCGCTCTCTCAAACACCCATAATCGAATCGTTATTCGAATGTTTTCGCACAAAAATGATTTAATCGTTAAATCGGCCCGCAAGATCTTCCCCGAGAAAAAAGGGGCGAGGGCGAGATCTCATCGCAAACGTCACATTCGTATCGTGAACGTTCCTCCTCTTCCTCTTTTCCATCCTATTTTTCTTCTTCTTCCATTCCGTTTTCTATTTATTTATTTTCTTATCCCTTCTATCCCACGCGCTAATAATATGTTAGTATTTTTTCTTTAAGTAGGACATTACGTGTGCACCGGTATGTATACGTACACCCTGTGCAGATCTTTGCAGTTATTTTCTTTCTTTAATATTATAGTATCATTATGTACAAATCGTCGTTCCAATTACGAGGATCGTTCCACCGATATCTACAAGTTGGAGGATACTGATATAAAGCGATTAGTTTTTCATCGCACAAGACCAGATCAATCGGTAGATACGATCGTCGTTACTAGATCGTGATTAAAACTCTCGCAAATGTATATGTTTGATTATACTACGCAACGCTTTCCGGCTCCCGTTAGTACACGAAGCAGCGAAAATCGGGGTGCGTTGATTACAAAACTTGACTTTATTCTATTTTTTTCTTTTTTTTCTTTTTTTCTTTTTTTTTCTTTTTTAGTTATTGTATGCCACGCCCAAAATCAACGATAAAACTGCTTTCACGATACTCTCGGTGCACAACATCTTTACTTTTATTCTCTCTTTCTCCGATGCACCAAAAGGCTGCAGGATGAATTCCTTTGTATAGGAGGTGTGTGAATATACTTTTATTTCATTGACCTTTGTGTGTGCGCGCGCGCGCGTGTGCGTGTATGTATGTATGTGTGTGTGTGTGCGCGTGTGCGTGCGTGTGCGTGTGCGTGTTTGTGTTCGTGTGTCCGTGCGTGTGCGTGTGTGTGTGTGTGTGTGTGTGTGTGCGCGCGTGTGTATTTCTGCATATATACGAGTGTACGTATCAACAAAATATGTACATATTTCCGTACCCCTTTTTCGCGCCTCCTGCAACGACTCACCCCACCATTCTCGCTTCTGCACATTCAGTATGTAAAAATATACAGGTTCGGTTATAGTCGCACGTAGGTATAAATATACCTATATGTATGTATGTGTGTGGTTTGTATGTTCGCGTATGTGTACCTAGAGCTAAAATTTCTATATCCCTAGCCTCTCGAGTAACGGGATACCAGTACGCGGCGGACTCGACGGACTAATTGGCGGCGGCCGCGGTTGCAAACTAATGGTAAATGGACACAAATATGAGAACGTAGTTTTTGAAAGACGGGAATCCTCGATTCATTGATCGTGGATTAGTCATTGCGGGAATGATGTGACGTGACTAGAATCATCTATCGTTCGACTAGATTCGTGCAAAAAAGCTTACAAGCGTAGAATCAAGTATTGTATCTTAAAACAATCTTAAAATTAAACCGATTTTTATCCTGGACGGTATACGCCCGAGCAGTAAAAATTTGTCTTATCGCTCAGGCAACGTCTCCCTTCAAAAATGTTCACCGGCTTGAAATAATTAAGCACAACGATCGACGAAACAAACGAATTATAACAATAAAAGACAAATAAAACAGAGAGCAAAGTAACGAGCACAAAGTGCGAGTAGCAAATAAATTTTAAGGCAATTTCTCTCCAGGCTTTCTCTCGAGTAATTTTAACGACCGTTCTTGGTAATTTTAACGCGTCGCGGTCGTGGTATGGCGTTTCGCAGCGAAGGAACCACTTGTTAACCAACTGTTGCACTCCGAGCAGGCGCCGGGGCAACCACATTATGATTTCCACAATCGAACTTGCCTGCGATATGCGCCAGCGAGAATCAACGAAGCTCGACCTAAGTCGTATGCATATTGCACTGAGGAGCTAATAATACACGTTCCTTTTCGGAGAAAAAAAAATTCGTATCGAACGATGGGGATTACTACGAACGAGAAGAAATACGCGCCGGCCACTTATCGATAGAAAAAGATAGCCGCGGAGATACGGCAATGGGATCGAGAAAATTTTCGTCTCTATATTTTCTCGATCCCTTCGTCGATCATCGTTCATCGATCATCGATCACCTATCATCCCATCGAGAAGACACATCGAATTAAAGAAAAGTCGAGTTACTCGCCTTACCCGCATTTCTCGATTTTATATGTAATTTTAGAGAGACGACTTTCAATCAATTACCATTTTTTATGTATTATTTGTAATATTATATGTATATGTTATAATAATACGGTTAATTCATATATGTCTACATACGAATATACGTATACATGTGTGTACATATGTGTATATATATATATATATATATGTGTACACATATATGCATATATGCGTGTATATAATATGTATACGTATATATATATATATATAAATACATATATATATATATATATATATATATATATGTATATATATATATATATATCGACCTTAGAGGCTACGAGTTTTATAGTTAAAAATTTGTCGTTTGGCTGTTAATTATTTAAAATATGTTCTGTTTGGTTTAATTAAACGTCTCACAATCAGTGTCATATGCGTTCTCTTTCGAACGAAAATGCGTTCTCTCTCTCTCTCTCTCTCTCTCTCTCTCTCTCTCTCTCTCTTCTTCTTTCATACTTGTAAACAGACTCTCGGTTTTTGTCACACGCAAACTGCTCGAGAAGTACTACGTATATTGTTTATAAAGTCGTCAAATCTTTTGTTTTTTCTTTTCTTTTTTTCTTTTTCTTTTTTTCTTTTTTTTTCTTTTTCCTTTTTCTTTTTTTCGTTAATACGGACCACACACGATATATCTTTCTGCGCCGCTTTGCATCTTGACTGTGTACGTGTGCGCGCGCGCGCGTGTGTTTCATGCCCTCCTCGTTTAATTAACACGAAATTAACTAGGACGTGTACAGGCTTCTTTTAAAAGCATCGCTCGTTTGTCTAAACATTGCACATTTTCCAGTCGACGGAGGAGGGCCCATTAGCGTTTCAAGCACTATATGATCTACGGGGTTCGAGCCGCGACGATCTTCGAAATTGCACGATCTTTAGAGAGAATAAAATAAAAATTTGATGAAAAAATTTACGAGACATTCAATCAAAACCATTTCTAATCCGATCAAGTGAATTTAATAAGCTATAAAAATATTCTAAATCGCAAACTTTTATCAAGCAAGCGAGACAATAATCTCGAAGAAGTTTACCATGTAAAAGAAATTGGTACGAATGTAGAGCGTCATCGACCCCACCTTTCTATTAACGACAACGCGAGATCCTCTCTCTCTCTCTCTCTCTCTCTCTCTCTCTCACACACACATACACACACACACACACACGCACGCACGCACGCGCGCTCACACACACACACACACACACACACAACTTTCTTCGGAGATCTATTTCTACGAATCGAACCGCTATTCGTAACGACAAGAAGTTTGAAGTTCCGTGCACGGAAATTGACAAGTGTAACTCTGTAAAAAGTCTAAGTCTCGTGTATAGTTTTCCCTCTGAAGCGTCGTTGGTCCAAGAAGGGGTCGCGTCTTTCTTCTCGAAGGGGAAAAAGATCGATAAAAAAAAAATGTCGAATTGGGACGAACCATACGGTCGAAGAACATCTTTTTTACTTTCAACTGCTTTCTAACTCTCTTTCCCTTTCATTCTATTCCTCTCGTTCGATCATTCTGTCATTCTCTCACAGTAGCAGATGATTGAACTACAATATTAAACGCGCTTCTTTTTAATTGTTTTTCACTTTTAGCCAGAAGGAATAATGATTGGTCCCGGATAGTCGATCGAAATATGGCCGGGGATTATGGCGATCTAAATTTTCATCATTTGATTTTATTTCATCTTTTTCGAGAAAGATGTCTTACTAAGCCCGGTGACGATCAGCCTTGGCTTTAAAAGAAAGAATGATGATCCTACAGCGTATCGAACGAACGACTATGGCCAACTATCCGTAACGATTCGAAAGATTATAATCGATCGAGGAAACGTTCGCTGATGTTGATTGTAACACCTTGGATGAGGAAAATAAAATCAAAGAATATCGTTAGCGAATCAAGTTCCATCAAAGGCTATATCGAAGTAAGAAAAGAAGAAAGAAAATGTAGACGATGCGAGGTAAAGGAAGATAAACAGATAGAGAAATTTTGGGAAGGAAGAAGAAGTATTTTTGACATTTCTTCGAGTTAAAAAATTTTTCTTCTCTGTTTTAAGAATCCAACAGGTGCGACGATCGCGCACGTTCACCAACAAATTACAAATCCGTTTGGGAATGGTCGAAGAGCGAGGAAAAAGAGAGATCACGAGGATGAAAATTCACTCTCGATTCATGAATCCGTTTCTACATTCGCTTATTGTAGCCTACGTAGACATTGTGAGACTTACACAATATCTTCGATATCTCCTTACGTCGTAGGTAGCTTTAAGAGATATAGTTAGATTGGCGAGAGCCTAGTTAAAAAGTCACGCGTCTTTGATACTTCTTCGCTCTTTTTCACGTGTAATTGCGTGTGCATGTGTAATTGCTGTTGTCGTGTGCCTTTGTTGTTGTTCTTGTTGTTGTTGTTCGCGTGTGCGCGCTGCTTCTTCTTCTCATCGCTGAGTCATCGATTCGAGTAGTGCATATAATGTATCTTTTTGTATATGTAAATATGTATGTACGCGCGCGTATATGTATTGTACGTGTGTTCGTTTAAGTTTTCTTTACAAGTTACGCAAATAATTGCAAAAACATACCCTGTTTCCTATATATTATATCACTGACATTACGACTCTTCGCAATGTTAGCGAACGTGATTCCAATTTTCTTTTATATCTTTTTATACTTTTTTTTTTTCTCTGTTTTCTCTTAATTCCATTTCAAATGGGGGGATTGTTAACGCGGTGCAGCAGTGTCGAGAGGGTCGATGGGTTTTCCTTGTTCATACCTTCGGCTTGCTCGCAAATGCAATTGCGCTGGATCGATCGTGTCAAATTGATCTTTCGAGAGCAGCGTGATATATAAGTACAGATATATATCGTCCTCCTTCTTTCCCTTCTTCTCTCCCTTTCGCCTCTCTCTCTCTCTCTCTCTGTCATCAGCACGGATCCTTTTTTACTTGGAAATCGCATTTTATAGCGCATCGTCCATCATAGACATTCAGTTTAGAGCAATGCAATGGGCAAAGTAGTCGGAGATCCCGATTTGAGATAAATCAGGCGTCGAGTGAAGCGCTCACGATTATTCTTCCGTTTTAAAAGAAAAAATAAATAAAAGTTTACAAAAAGATGGGCGCTTCCGTCGACGCTGCTAACTTCTTCGAGTTAATTTTCATGCAGGACGAAGTCGATGGACGATTCGGTACGACGTCATGCCAAAGCGTATTGAGAGTACGAAGCTTTCTTCTGAAAATCATTTTTTGTTTCTTCCCTTTGCGATCGATTCGTAAATTCTATACGCGGGCACGCCGTATATACGACGCTTTGGATTTTTCGCGAATACATCGCTTTCCCAGAAATTCGGAACATTGATTAGCGAGCAGCGAATTCGTCTCGGTTATTACATCACGTCATGTAAAAATAAATTCAAAGCTGATCTCCTCAGGGAATATCGCACTATTATGTTCATTATATTTTTTCTTTTCTTTTTTTTTATCTCTCTAATCTCGTTCTTAGAGCTAAGAATCTCTCTCACTCTCTCTCTCTCTCTCTCTCTCTCTCTCTCTCTCTCTCTCTCTCTCTCTCTCTTTCTTCTCCCCCTTAATAAGTCTCGATTATGACATTTAGCAAGATGCACACTACGTCGGTTGTAGCAAAAACTTTGTTGGATAAAATAGTTTAAATTTTTTTCTGGTTTGTTTACAATCGTCGTTTGACCTTCGTATTTATATATTTATATATATATATATATATGTATTTATATTTATATTTATTTATTTATATTTATATATATATATATATTCATATTTATAATTTATATTTATATTTATATATTTATATGGTATTTATATATTTATATGTATGTACGTATAATATACGTGTAAGTTTTGTATATGCGTGTATTTATATTTTGTGTTCATCATGTTATTTATAAGAGTAGGTTGTGTTTCCTTGATATATGCTATTTTTAGTACTTGTTAAAGTTCTTTAAAAAGCTTAGATCGTAGTGATATTATCATTTGGTGCTTGCATAGAAGCATTTCTTTTTTTTTTTTTTTATTATTTGGTATACGTGTCTCTTCTTCTGTTCCCCGCGATAGGTGCTTCTTTGGATCTCTCCTCTTTATCTCCTGATCGCTCTCGGATCTGTATATGTACGCGTGTGAGCAAAGGTGCATCTTCGAAGAAATTTGTTTATCCTCCGAGTTGCCTACGCTCTATCAAATGGCTGATTCATCATAAATAATCTTCCTCGCAAGCTCGTAATGATAAATATTCGAGAGGAAAGTGATAATCCCAAGCTACTCTCTCCCTTAAATATTATTTTATGATATCGCGCGAAAAGAGACTAGCCTCTGCAAACGAATAAAGAATGATCCTAATAAGAAAAGAATAAAGGGAATATAAAGAAAAAGATGGAGGGAGGGGGAGTGGAAATAAAGGAAACTCGCGTATTCGTTCACCGATGCCTTTAACTCCCTCTTATAAAGGATGCTCTTCCAGAGTTTTTCCTTTTGCTTGTTGAAAACGCAAATCATGTGGAAAATCTGTCCTATCGGATTCTCAATCCGCTTATCTCTATCTTATATTATCGTATCGTGTTTATCGACTTCGTACATCCATTGTACGCAACGAATTAAAGAGGCTCACATACGTAATACGCGCGTGTGCATTTACTTTATATAGATACGTATAAATGCTATATGCATTAAACATAGAAAGTGCATGCAGCCAGAGAAGCAAATAACATCCGTGAGAAATGAAACGTTCGTTGAATGTGCCGAGCACCGGCTGCGCGTAATGCATCATCAGTGTAAAGATAGTTAGGCACGTGCGCGATACGCCCGTACACGCTTCCCGATTACATCTTTACTCGGTGGTACCTGTTTGCCAGTGTTAGTGTTACATATATCGAAGCCCTTATTACCGAGCCCTCTGTCTCTCACGCTCGCATTGATTCGCTATTCCGTTCACGGTATGTAATTATTGAAGCTGCAAACGTGGGTTAAACTACGTTGGAACTCGATATATTGCGTGTTAATCAAATTTCATTTCAAAATGAAACGTCATATTTGAAAAATGATAAGTGGGCTTGACTAGTAATGAAAGACAAACGAGAAATCTTAAATGTCCATTGGCGAACGAAGCCGGTGATGTACACGAGACCTATCGATTCGACGTACAAAGTATGACTGAGAATTCAAATCAAGGTCCTTTATATAATAACAGTCTTTGCTGTTCTGCTCTACCTCTTCCAAACCATCGTCCTTCTTACGAACGCGATCCCCGATCGACCACGCCCCATTGAGATCGGAAATATATTTTTTTATAAAGGTAATTTTCTAAAAATGACAAGAATATATGTTGTGAATGTTTACGCTGCTGCATAGTATATAAGTTTATGTGTATATGTATTATAAATTATTAGTTTATTATTATTATTATTATTATTATTATTATTATTATTATTATTATTATTATTATTATTATTATTATTATTATTATTATTATTATTATTATTATTATTATTATTATTATTATTAGTTGTTTATTATTATTATTATTATTATTATTATTATTATTATTATTATTATTATTATTATTATTATTATTCTTTTTATTATTATTATATATTATTAGTATTAATATATATATTATATTATCATCGTCATAATTATTACTATTATTATTATTCTTACTATTTTTATGTCGTTTCATACCGTTATCCGTCGATAACTATATATGTAGCCCCCGAACTCTCGTTGAAGAAGGGAAATTTATAACGCGCTCTTTAAAATCGTACACACGCGTCTCATCACGTTGTATTTCACTTCGTGTCTGTTATGTATGAGCCTTGTATGTATATATGTAGCTACGTTTTAATCACTCTATCCTTTATCTTCCATTTTATGCTCTGTACGTGTGCCACGAATATAGTGTGAGCAATGAATTCGTGAACGGACTGTAAAAGCGAGGAGAAGGGTCGTCCGTCCAAACCCCTCTAAAAAGTAAAATACAAATTGAAAGATAAATACTATATATATACATCTATATATATATATATATATATATATATATATATATATATGTATGTATGCATATGTGTATGTATTTATGTATGTATATATGTATATAATATTACTATAATATATATAATATACGTTATATGTGCGTATAATTTATATTATATATATTACATAGCAGCGCTCTAAACGGCGCACGTGACTAGTTCATTTTATTTTTATGTCGCACTAAACGTACCGTCACCCTTTCATAATCCGCGAAGCTAATAATTTGTTGTATTTTTTCACTTTCACTCTCTCTCTCTCTCTCTCTCTCTCTCGGTCGCTCGCTCTTATCTGCCTTACAATGCGGATCTGTTACGTTCTCATTGGCTAAAACTATAATAATAATAATAATTTACTAAGTCTCTAGTTTTCTTTCAATCAATATATATATATATATATATATATATATATATATATATATGTATATATATATATATATATATATATATATATGTATATATATAGTATATATATATTATATCTTTCTCTCATATATTTATATTATTTATAATTATATATTTATATACTTCCTCTTCTCAAATAATGAATATTTATATATCTATATCCATATACGTATATATGTATATATAGATATATAGATATAAGTAATAGTTGGTACTTTGGTTGATTATTTCCGCTAGATCAAACGTCTCCTCTCCATTTTATCGCTCCGCTTGATCATCTTATGCATCCTATCGTCTAAAAAATTAGCCTAAGTATTTGGTTTAACTCCCGCACCTTTTTCTATTTCCCGCTAATCGATCGATCGCAGGATCCGACCGGGCATCGCTCGCAAAATGTCCTAATCTTTTTACACATCGCTCTCTTATCTTTGGTCTTTTACTTCTTTTAGAACGACGATAGAAGAAAAAATGGGCTAGCTTAGCTTTGCTATATATATGAAGCTCTTCAATTCTAAAGATCGCAACAGACAATATAACGAGCTACGATAGATATACGTTTTTCTCGTGTTCCCAGCGCGTGAATTGACGTGTCTTCGAAGGACCGAGGAGTAGCTCGGATTCTGGCAGGATAAAAGTTTTGTACGCTCCACCATTCTCTCTTCCTTCCCATCTCTTTTTGTGATTGTACTATGTGTCATCATTGATAGATATAACGACGAAGAAGAATGGCAAAGCGTGCTGGTAATCCATAATACTTCAAAATCTCAACTCGTGATCGTTTCTCCACTCGTAGGTGCGAGCGACTAGAAGTGTTGACTAGTATAATAATAGTAGTAGTAGTGTAGTAGTAATAGTAGTAGTAGTAGTAGTAGTAGTAGTAGTAGTAGTAGTAGTAGTAGTAGTACTAGCAGTAATACCAATAGTAATAGTAGTAGCATTAGTAGTCATAGTAGTAATAATAGTAGTAGCGTGAGCCAGGAAAATTAAAAAGAAAGGATTAGTTTTTGAATCAACAAAGGATGATGATAGTCCATGCCCTTCTCTCGAGTACGATACGATCTTGTGAAAATTTTCCTCTGTACAAAGAAAACGCCGATTCCGTTGCTCGTTTTTTCCCTTCCGTGTTTTTCTTTTTCTTTGGTTTCTTTTTTTTTTGTATGTTCGGTATAATCACAGCCTAGTTGACATTTCTCGGGCGATGCAGTATGCGGTCGGTCGAACGAAAAATGATTTTACTTTTTCCTTATCTCGACGCTGTAAAAGGAACAACCCTTGAGATAAACGCCTGTGAAAATCTGTAGAAACTTTTCTGTGTGTGTTTTTGTGTACGTGTGTGGATTGTGTATGTGTATATATATATATATATAATGATAATAATAATAATAATAGTAGTAGTAGTAGTAGTAGTAGTAGTAGTAATAATAAGAATAATAGTAATAATAATAATAATAGTTATAAAAATAAAAGTAAAAATAATAATAATATGTATATATATATGTATATACTTTCGGCCGGAAACTCGCTCGCGACTTGATAAGAATAATGACAACGCGATAATGATAATAAGTTAATAAGGACAATCGTAATCAATACGTGCTATACAGGGACAACGAAGGACCGTGAGTCTAGGAAGCCTAGAAAGTTGCCTATTTCTTCTCTTGACGCACGGCACTGACGTTCTCTCTCTAGTTGCAGTGTATATAAAACCTACAGCGCGCGACGATACGCGTTAAAATTCTTATAGACGTGTGTATATATACATACATATATATATATATATATATATATATATATATATATATATATATATGTATATATGTGTATATATATATACATATATTAATATTATATATAAGAGAGAGACACTCGGATGAGCTCGCAGGGATTCGGATCTTGACGCTGAGCCCAAGTTCGTCGAGCTTCTTTGGTTTTTTCTTGTTTTTTCGTTTTCTTCTTTCTTCTTCTTCCTCCTTCTTCTCTCGTCTTTTGAAAATTATTTTCTCATTCTTTAAAATGCCCTGAAGAGTTTCGACAACGGCGGATATTGGAACTGTTGAATCTTTTGCGAAACGATAGAAAAGGGTTGGGAGAGTTTAGATCGAATGGACGGGGGGGGGGGGAGGGTATAATGATGGGATTGAAAAAAATATCCGACAGAAATGCTAGGAAGAAACGGGATGACGAGTAGAATGATCGTGTTCGACCAAAGATCCTTTCTTCCAAACGTCAAACGTCAAACGTCAAACGTCAAACGTCAAACGTCAAACGTCAGCGAGGAGAGATGCGCTCCAACTTCCTCGCGCCACGGCGTCGTTGCATTTGTCGAAGGGTATAATATTTTTTTGCCCCTTTAGTCTTCTCTCGAATTTGGATTTAGCGCAGAGAAAAGAACAAAAAGAGAAAAAGAAGAAAAAAAAAAAAGAAGAAAAGAAAACAAAAAGAAAAAAGAAAGAAAACATCCGAGTCGATCTCCATTGGATCTCCTTCGTCTTCGTCGAGGCTTAACTTTTTAGCGAGCGACGAAGCTGCGTCTCTATCTCGATCTCTAGATACTATCCTCTATGAAATTAACTAGCTAGTATACTAGGTTATTACGATGGAGAGGAGCGCTGTAGCGGTGATTCAAACTCGTCACTCCTGATCGTCGAGCTTCCAAAGGGCTCGCGTTCTCGTACGACATCTGTAAACGAACGGAGGAATATCTGTGTCTCTCTTTTTGACGATTAGAAACAGTGAAGTTCGTATCTAAGGCCATTGGAAATTATAACATAGAGAAATAAATGAGGAAAGAAGGCTTACTCTGTAAGTTATGACGTAGGGCGCAATCCGTCCAGTTTTTCTACGCTAGGACGTGGGTTAGTATGGCTTGCTAGAATCCTTGGGCCTCTTAAGTTGTACCTTTAACCGTTTCATTCCTATCTGAAATCCGTTCATCGCGTGGATCGCTGCTTGCGCGCTCGCTTGATTGTCGAACGACACGAAACCTGAAAAGAATCGATCGATTAATTGACGATACGATGAATGTTCGTTAACGAATCCGTTAACTGAATTCGTTAAATGAATTTAGATCGCGCTTCGTTTTATTATGATTCATTTCGTTTGTATCGCGTAGACGCGCGAATTTCAAGTATTATTTAATCGGGACGACAATCAACATCGATTTGAAAAGATTTGATTCGATTAAATATATATCTACGTTTCTCTCCTTTATTATAGAAGAGACACGTGCGCGAGTAATAATTAGAGCCGAAAAATATTTTAGAAGAAAGAAGAAAAGAAGAAAAAGAAAGAACTTGGAAGCGATGCGGGACGTGGCCTTTTTCGTAGCTTCGCTACGAAATTCATCCAAGTTCTTTCTAACGAGTCTCTGTAATTTTGAAATTTGTAAAAAAGGGGATGGGGGGGGGGGAAACACTAACACGAGCGCAAAAGTCTGAATCGCTTTTTCCTGTCTCTCTGCGTGCGACTGAATGGACCGAAGATGATACGATCGAACGAGATCGTCCAATTATCCGCGTCTATGTACACCTGCGAATCCGTATCGGATACGATTCATCATCAAAGGAACGCCACTGGTGGCGTTTTTCAGTCCCTTTTTTTTTCTCTTTTTTTTTTCTCTTTTTTTTTTTTTTTTTTTTGATTCGGTCTTCTCTGCTGTCGCAAAAGGCTTCGAGACCGATTTTATTCAGCCGAACGGCTATTGGTACTGCTTTCATAATTGATGGTCCCTCCCTCCGTGTGTATGCGCTACACGTGTGTGTTCACGCGTGCGTAACGAGTTCTCTATTTTAGTTCGATTTTAGCCAAAATCCGAAAGCAACGACGGCTTTTCTTTCTCTACGTACGTAGACGGCCGAAAATTCTTTAACAAGCGCGTCGACAAAATTAGTCCTACCTTGACGTAGTAGAACCCATTTTTACTTACGGTCTTCTTTCTGTCTCTTCCCTTCAGTCAACAAGGCCACGTTTTCACTGTCTTTCGTGGAAATGACGCACTTACCGAAGCATTTGCTCTGGTTAGTGGCCCGGTCGATGAAGACCTTCGAGGAGATGACGTTGCCGAAGGGCATGAACATCTGCATGAGCTCGGTGTCACCGAACTCCTGTGGCAGGTGGTAGATGAACAGGTTGCAGCCCTCGGGTCCTGAGATAGAGCATCCTACCATATAAATCAGAGCACATCTAAACATCTAAACTTGAAGTATAATACTCAAGTTAGAATGTTAGTCTTTGGATGAGTTTCCTTCTTCGGTAGAAAAGTTGTTATGATTCGGCGATAGTGAAAAGCGAGAACTTGCGAGTGCGAGTTTCAATGAAAATGAAGATGAAGTTTCGTGATAATCGGATTTAAAGTCTCTCACATCGTGTCAAACTATTTTATGAGCAAATACATAGATCATTATATGGAACAATCGATCGGTGAGAGACAAATAAGATTTTGAAATGTAATGAGAGAGACAAAGTCGAAACAAAGTGATATGCATATATAATAATGAAATAAAAGAGAAAGAGACGCGAGAGGTTTCTCGCAAGTGCCGTTCCTTACGATCCTGATGATTCTTTCTCTTTCTCTCGCGCGCACTTTCAAAGTAACGTTGAGTATTTATACTTTCAATTATACAAACACACAACACAGGGAATTCACACAACACAATGACGGACGAAACAAGGGAATTGGACTGGTGAATATTGGAGGTGAGATACGATGTATGAACGTGAACGTTATTATGATGAAGGAGTATGTTTGTACGACGGTGATCCTGACAGTGATTACGAATGATGCTTTTATATATATACATACATACATACATACATACATACATACATACATACATACGTACATACGTACATACATACGTACGTATATATATATACACATATATATATATATATATACATATATATATACATATATGTATACATATATATATATAAATGTATATATATACGTATTTTCTTTGTTTTCTTCTTTTCCTCATTTCTGCCTTTTCCTTCGTTTTTTGTTTTCTCTTTTTTTCTTCATTATTGCCAGACACGATGATCTATCGTCGTTATTTTTAAAGCGTGATCGCGCAAACGCTGCATGGAGAAATCGATATTACGCAGCCCTTGCTTCCCTAATCATCGCCCTTGCAATTTACAGAATCATATTGTTCCGTTTAATGAATTTCTACCATTTTAATCTAATGCATTTTCTCTATGTCCAGAAGTCAGACTTTTCTTTGAGTTAACATCACGTTGAAAAGCGACAAAGAAGACATCGACAGAAGGATTAATACGTGCGCATGCTCGACGAAGAACGCTTTCCAACGAGTGCCAAGGGGGGAGGGGAGAGGGGGGGGGGGGGAGAGAGAGAAGGGTCGGGAGGAAGTCCAAATAAGGATTTAGCTAATTTCACTGAACTTTATAACTCCGACGTCAATTAGCGGCGATTATGACCGTAGAAACTTCTGCTCTCTTGCCCAGAGAGCTACCCGACTAACGGACGCATTTAAGTAATGAGATGGCTGCCACTCAACTTTTAGGGCGCTACTCATCGCGAGCCGCTTGTTACTTTGGCAGGATCCACCACCTTTGAGATCTTCCTCTCTTTCTCTCCTTTTCCTTTATTCTCCTTTCGAGACTTTGGGAATAATCCAAAGCTATGTCGAATCACGAGCAAGTATAATTGTCCACTGGTAGCAGTTCCAGGAACAATCCTGACACCTCTATCTTTTTTATGATAACCCTCTCTTTAAAGATCGAAATGCAAATACAATGCTATACTTTTTGTCATTTAAAGAGTTTCAATACTTCCCTTCATTTACCTATTTTCCTCTCTCTCTCTTTCTCTCTCTCTCCCGCTCCCGCTCCCCTCCCCTTTCTTTGTTCGCAAAACAGTCTTTCTCATTAAATTCCATCTAATTAAACGGATTAGCCTATGTTAAAGTGCAGACATTTCCCAGGTGTTGCCTGATATAATTGCATACTTGTAATCAAATGAATTAGTCGTCGAGTTCTTGAATAATTTTTTTCCGACGTTTATCTTACAGACAAAGGAATCGAGAAAGCGAAGATTTACAAATGGAATTATGAAAGATCCAGAGGCGATACTTTACTCTTCCTTTGTCCACGACGACGAAATATAAAATAAGTGGGGAAGCGAGATGAGAAGAATGATCGAGGTGGCGTTAAAGGCTTCGAAATTAATTTCGCGTCAAAAAGGAAAGTTTGCGTTATCCGAGGAATAACCTTAACGCGTCTCGCGGTTTACATAAAGAGTGACAAATGCTTCCCCTTTGCGTCGGAGCTTTGTCCCGGCAATAACTCGATCGAAGTTGTCACGCGAAACCCAAATTAGCGTGGGTGTCGACAGGTTTCCAGTTGCTGCCGCCGCCGCCGCCGCCAACGAAGAGAGTGAGAGAGAGAGAGAGAGAGAGAGAGAGAGAGTGAGAGAGGCGGGGGGACGGAGGAAGGGAGGGAAAGAAAGGAAAATGGAATCACGAAGAACGAGTCATAAATTCAGCTCTGTCGCCGTGGTGCCTGATCGGTGATCCTGAAATTGCTTCTCGATTCTCACTAATTGGTCTTAGCGCGGAATCTGTCCACAAATTTAATGAGAATGGCCCAACAACTTCTCTTTTACCACCTCTTGCCTTGATAAAACAAATAGAATAGATGAAATAGTAAAAAGTTGTTTCTTTCTAAAATCATCTACATATGTACTTTCTTAAAACAAAGTATTTGTTATATTAATAACAAGGATAACCGAAATTTTGGAATCCACGTCTATAGCTAATGTGAAACATGAGATGGAAGCAAGCAACCAGCACTGTTTTGCAGAGCAACACCGAAAACAACCACTGACATGTCCAGTGCAACGAAGAGTACACTGAAATTCTTGAATAAGGATAGAACGAATGTATGTACATACATAGAAAGTTTCGCGATGCAACGTTTAGAATATATTGCAATGTACCTGTGTGACAGAATATTGTGAACGAAATAGATAGATAGATATATAGATAGATAAATAAAGAGAGACGTGGAACATTGACAATAATAATTATTAAGAATTTTTAATGATATTAAAAGGAAAGATTACCCGATGAAGTGATGACTGTGTCATGCAAAAAAAACGAACCGAGACAAACTGGTGTGCAGCTGCAATTTTCCTGAAACACCGAAACACCTTCTTGACTCGCGCGTCCAATTTTTTTTTTTCTTTTTTCTATTTTTCTTTTTTCTTTCTTTTTTTTATTTCCTCTACCAAGACACATCAAATTTTCATCGTGTGAACTTATACCTGCCGAAATGGGAAAACTCCTCTTTCGGAAAGGCAGCCCTGAATTTGATGATCGAACGTCATATTCCACACGTCAAAGTGCATTAACGTTTACGTGGAACGATCTCGTGAGTGTGAAAAAGATGGATGGAGGCCGAAGAAAAAAAAGAAAAAAAGGAGAGAAAGGCCAAAAAAGAGAAGCCGAGGGCAGGAGGATAATCTGGAAAGGGGTGGCCTGGCGAAAGTCGGGGGTGGCTGTCGCAGTAAACTTTCCATTATCCTACGATGTAACAACGAATCGCCTACGGGCGTAGCGGCAAAGTAATTAAAACTTTCGTTTTATTTGCATTATCTCATTGTAAGGCATCGTATATTCTAATAATGGCGAGTTGTTAATTGCAATTAGGCGTGGGGCTTCTCCATCCACCTACTACCACCCTCTTTTCTACCTCTCCTTCTTCTACTTCTCTCCCTCCTCTTTTCTTTTTTTCTTTCCTTCCTTCCCTCCTTCCTTCCTTCCTTGCTTCAACCCTCCCTCCCTGTCCTTGTTTCAACATCGCTTCCCGACTTCCTTTCGGCCCTGTTTTTCCACAAAGAACAAGGACCGTCTTTTTCAGGCCTTTTCGTTCGACTGACGTCTCGTTAAGCACTACCTCGATCGATTCCGTTGTACTTTTAATTGGAAAACCAGTATTCGGTTGTAGTCAACGATTTCAACGAACCTTTCCGCTCGTTACACGAGATGAAAGGGGGGATGTATATTGTGTGCACGACAACGTTAAGGATTCCTTCTTCTTAAAAACTTCAAGAAAAAATAGTCGAGAGATCTGATTTCACTTCTATCAACCCTAACCGACTTACTTTGTTTCAGGTCAAGACAATTAATATAAGAGAGATATGGGAAACATTTCGGGAAACTTTCGAGAAGCAAGGAGATACGGTTTTACTTATGGCCGCGCGCTTAATGAGAAAGAAACCCGTGAAACGTACGTGCCGGTGAAAACCTGTAAGGTAGAATTCTGCCGCGAAAAATTTCATCAAAGGTTTCTCGCATCTCCGAGGTAGGACGGTGAGCGTCGAATTAAAAGAGAGGAGAAACTTTGGAAAGATGAAGAAAAAAAGAAAAAGGAAGCGCTTTTTAATCGACCTTCCCCACGCAGCAAAGAATATAATTTCTCTTCTTTTCCACTTGCTCGCTCGACTTTTTCTACGTTTCTTTCAGACGATCGACAAAGTGGAATTTTTCGTGCCTGGACTCATCTACATCGCCCGCGTTTCTTTTTGCGCGCGCCTGTGGTATGTCTGTTTCTGTGTCTGTGTGCGTGTGCGTGTGCGTGTGCGTGTGCGTGTGCGTGTGCATGTGCGTGTGTGCGTGAGAGTGTATTTTAAGGACTTGGTATCAACTACAAATTTGGATAACTACTGATATTTTGTGTTACAATCAACAATTAAGACTTTAACGTGTTTGTACTTACCTTCCCTTTGCGTAGGTGCCACAGCGGCGGTCATCGGCTGAGGGATAGCTTGGGGAAATTGGCTGTAGACGGCGGGATAAGCTGCGACAGTAACAAATAACGGATAACCAACAAATTACATCATATTTGTTCACATTGAGACACTATGTTCATGCCGTTCTGATTGATATTCATTCGATTTTCAAAAATTAGTGCTTTTCGATTCGATTCGAAAATTGGTATTTTTCGGAAAATGATTTTTATTATCTATTTTGTCGAATAGGTAAGGAAAAAGAAAATAGAGGAGGAAAGAAAAAGAAGAGTAAGAGAAGGGAAAGAAAAGAAGGCGATGTCGTTCGTATCGCGTTCAACGGCGCGGTCCATTTACCTTGTCAACTTAAAAGCAAACGAATGGTGGCGAATCTCCGCTACAGGAGTCTCACGAACGTTCCTCGTGCGTCATTTATCATGCCGCTTCCACGGACAAGGATATTCGTCTCTCAACGGTATCGCCATTTCCCAACTTTAAATACCATACATTCGGTGCTTTGTACCTGCCTCATACTGCATACACACATGTGTCTGTATATTATACATATATACATACATATATATATATATGTATATATATGTACGTATGTAGTATATATATATATATACATATACATATATAGTATGTATATATATATATATATATATATATATATATGTATATAGACACAGGCACACATGCACACACAGGTATAGGCATACGAGCGCGCCCACGCATTTCTCTTTTCTCTAGCTCTTTCGCCTTTTACTTTTGGCTCTTCTAATTGTCGATGGAAAACGGAGTCAAATATTTTCCCGTTCGTACTCGAAAGTGACACTCGATACGGCTTCAAAGTTCCACGCTGAGAAGGATCGGACTACCCCGATGAAATCACGCGCGGGAGATCACGTTTCACGATGGCGCATGACTTTTCCATTCGCTCTCGTTATATCGACCGGTAGTCAGGCTCGCTTAGGAATGATAACTTTTTTTACGTGCGATTTTCTGAACGATTTCGAACCGACATCCGACCTTTCCCATATTCTGCCTATAATCGCGTACTCGCAATCATAACGTTATTAATCATACTTGAGTAAATATTTAAAACGTTACGTGATTGATATCTGTTTGCGACGGGACATAGACAGCATAGCGTTCACTCGTTCGCTACTCTCAAATCCGCAACGCTGAAATTTCGCTTCGGAATTAATTATTCCCGTGCAAATATCACTTTAATATATTCCGATTGACGTTACCGGAGGCTTCGTGGAAGCGCGATGGGTCAACATTTGGCGTATGAAATAAATGCGCGATCATACGTCGGTTATCTCGTGCTGTTTAACAGAGAAGGAGAGAGAGAGAGAGAGAGAGAGAGAGAGAGAGAGAGAGAAAGCGAGCGAGTTGCGAATATAGGGGATTGCTTTTTTCGATCCGTTGATCTCGACGAGTTTGTGTACGCTGGGAACAAATATAGGAGAAAAAACAGGCCGTTTTAGAGACACCTGTAAGCGGAAAAAAAGTTGGACGTGTCGCAGCAACGACGAAGAGCGGTCTGCAGGCTATCATGTACACCGACAAATTCACGAAACCACCGATAATTCTTTGAACGCACGTACCTCTACGCAAACAGGATAGTTCTACTTTTATTTTCCTTCTCTATTGATTCGAAAACTATGATGACCGTACGCGACGGGATCGTTTGTTTACGGCTACGGTCGACCATCCCCCTTTCTTTCCTTTTTCATCGGTCCTCGTTCGTCGAGTGTAAAATTAGTTAATACATTGGCAACCTAATTAATCAACTGTTTTATCAAATGTACTTTACCGATTGTTCTTACCGAAGAACTCTCTCTCTCTATCTCTCTCTCTCTCTCTCCCTCTCTCTTGTCGTTATGCGCGCGACAACGGAAACAAAACAAAAGAGAATATAAGCAACACCGTGATGGATGGACACGTACGGTACTGTATTTTTTATCATCGGAAACGCAATAGAAAACTACACGGGTGCGCGAAACTGTCATTTCCCTTCCTGTCGTTTTTATCGACCATTAGCGAGAATTACCGTGCAAATTGCTGAAATCACAACATTCGAACGTTGTCCGTAATTTATTGCTCTTAACGAAGCGTGCGCCGAATCTGCATACCAACGTAAAGCATCTGATATATTCTTCAATAAAACACGACACTGAATTTGTTTGTAATGTCTTTGATGTATTTATACGATTACACGAATGAATAAATTCTATTTTTTAAATTTACTGTTTACTTTCTTGTCTTTCCCATACATCCAAAATAACATTTACAACACCACACATATGAGCTGCTACGCACATGTTACGCATGTGTTAACGGCATATGTATAATACGATATATGTATATGTATATATATACATATAAAGAATTTTACGTATACGAAATATATGCATGTACATGCTGACACAGTCGTAGCATGCAACAACGTAGAGCAACGCGAAGAGCGAAATTGAGTTTTTTCCAGATAAATGTCCGAGTGGTTCCGGTTAAAAGCGTGTTGTGCTTGATTTTTTTCTTCGCCTATACCTTTCCTCTTTCCTCCCGTTTATTCCCTTTCAGCATTGCTCTCTCTCTCTCTCTCTCTCTCTCTCTGATCCCTGCCCTTCCTCTCTAGCTAGACGTCCAACGATATTCATTTTAGATCGACTTTGAACAAAAAATGAAAGAAAAAAGTGAACCCGAAGGGGAGAGACTTTCGAAAAATTCCATATGATTTTTTTTCAACTCTGCACATATATTTCGTGCACGTGTGTGTTAGTTCAATAATACCGAGTCGATAAAATGTTCGTTCGGTGATCTAGCCAGGTTATCCCCGTATCGAACGGCATTATATGTAAACAGCCAAACTTTCTGTACCAACGTTACTATAAGTTTCCATATCAAATAGGATTTTTTCAATTACCATCGAGGTATCTATTAAAAAAGAAACTGAACATTTAGATATGTCCTATCGGGTTCCTAGCTGAAAAAGCATGGAGATTGGAACTTTTTGGAAGAAGAGAGAGACTAAGATTAGAGAGAGGACTAAGTGAGAGAGAGAGAGAGAGAGAGAGAGAGAGAGAGGAGAGGGCTGTCTCAGTTACGATTTCAAGGTTTCTCATTATTTAATTTTTTTTATAGACTATTGAGATGATGGATAAAACGTAAATGCGAAGGAAAAATATCGAGTAGGAATTTGATTAGAATAGTAATCGGAGATGATGTCAACAACTAGAAGAAAAAGAAAAAAAAATGAAATCGAATAACTTACCGACACCAGGAGGATAAGCTTGCATTCCGGGATAAGAGGCGGCATGTTGAAGTGCCGCCTCCCCATTGGGCAGCCCCTGTGCTGGAATCGACAAATGGAGGGCATCTACACTTCAGTAAGCTCAGCTCTTATCAGGGATGGGCCTAACTTAGTGCCCCTGTCTCAATGAACCCGATCCTATCGAAGTTTTACCCGAATATACCATGTTTTACATCGTGAAAGAAATAATGGAGGTAGAATCGAATGATGATTACTTAATATCTTCGAGGTATCGAACCTTTAGAATATAATAATAATCTGGAATAACAATATTAATCTGGAAAATGTCCATTAAGAGCGAAATCATTCGCAGAGACAATCGAATCGAATTATGTATATCGAAGAAAAGTAGCATGGGCTCGTCATGAGAGAGCTTTCGCAATTTTAGCTGGCAGCGGTTTGGTCCTGCGCGAGAGTAGAAAGAGAAATAGGAAAAGCCGTGGCGTAGCGACGCACCGAGCGCCGTCGTACTGGGCGAGGTTATTTCCTTCGGCGGTGGAAACGCGGAATAATAAAGTCCGTCGTCGATTGGTCGGGCATTGCGCAGGGGCGGCACACTGCGCCTGAGTTGATACTCACGTCCCGAGTAGGTTTGCGGTATCCCGTTGGTATAGACACCTGGATCCGAACCTGCTGGTTGACCGTTCGGTGTTTGGGCGGCCATGTTGAAATTGGGCATCGTCGGCGAGGGTAACGACGGTATCGCTCCGTTAACTGGCTGTCCTGTGGAACCTACGAGCAAACCTGATCAGTATACAACGATTACCCTCTTGCTCTTGCAACACGGACTTTTGTCGCGGACATCCGCTCGCGACCAATCCTCTCAACACCCACACGCTGACCTCCTACTTCTACCTTCTTATGTCAATCGATTTTTCAGCCGATAAATGCGAATATATCGTCTAGGCCTTAGTTGCCTGAAGCAGCATGACTTTTACTCCAAAAGTTACGTCGCTGTGACAACGGTACGTTTCTTTTCTGATCAAACGATGTCATCGGATTGGAATCAATCGATCAACTTCATTTTATTTTATGTAACGTGTGGGAAAAATAATGAATATTGATAAGCGAAAAATACCATGAAAGGGTAAGATATAACTTGGAATCAAATTGTAAAAATATTGTATTATTTTTCTTTGTAACGGCATTACCTTCCCCCTCGACGAGACTCAACGTATAATAGCCCCAGCGCAAGCGTTTGCGGAGAGACGATTTCCGCGTTCACTATGCTCTCCTCTCTTCTTTCTCTTTCTCTCAGTTTTCTCTCCTATCGAAAGATCGGAGTCGAGCAGAGAAAGAGAGAGAGAGAGAGAGAGAGGGAGAGAGAGAGAGAAAGAGAAAGGGTCGTGCTTCCTAGGAGTTTCCACTTCCCGTTCGGCGAGCTTTCGATAAAGTTTCGCGGTACCCAGCAATATCTTTCGCCCGAGTCACGCTCGGTGAAAATGTTGTATTGATTTACGAGCCGGTTATAAGGCAAGCGAGCGTACGCTCTTCTCTTTTCCTTCAAGCGCGCACGCGAGATCGCTCGCGGATGTTCTACGCAGAAGAGGTTGTGGTAGGGTGGTAGAGGGCAAAAGAGGTTTGCGAAATCGAGCGTTTTCCTAGTAGAAGGGTAGGTATAAATGCGGGTTTGTATGGGTGTGTCTGTGTGAGATGGTGCACGGATGCTTCTCACTCGTTTCTTCTCCACTCTGTCGAATGTTTCCCGGGAAATCGAGCGTTTCTCCGATTCCAAGCACTCCCTTCTCTCTCTCTCTCTCTCTCTCTCTCTCTCTCTCTCTCTCTCTCTCTCTCTTTCTCTCTCTTCCCCTCACGAAATTGATGTAGCTCGACGCAACGTTATACCGCGAGATTTTCCTTGGAAACGTCGAATTTACCGAGGAGGAGTACCGTAACACGAATCTTTTCCCGAGGAAATTCGAAACGTCTTAACTTATGAATCAGTTAATGTTTCGCCCTTGATCGATTAAAAAAAATGTCGTGCTTGTTATCACAGCGACGTATCCACGTATCTAGATGATAAATCTCCAGAGTCATATACCCAGGTATCGGTCATCTATTTTCTGGATAAAGAAACCGTTTGTAATATTCGTTAACTGTAGTTTTATTTCTTCCGTCAATTTCGAAGCTTGGGCTATTAATGCTAAAATTATGTCCCTTTTTGTAAAAGTAAAAGAAATTTGATAATAAAACTTACCAGAAGTCGGTGGTACGACGGGATTTGGCATGCCGTTCAGAGCGTGTGGTAATTGTCCAGCGGCTAGAGCGGCCATTGGACTGATATATGTTCCCTGTGCCGTAGCAGCTGCCATCAGCGCTGCTTGTTGCTACAAGTGCAAACGAATAATTCGTTTTATTAAAATGTACATCGGTTGATCTGCTCTCGCAGTCCTCGGTAGCCCTCAAAAAGGTTAACGTTCGAAGTCAAACGAATTGAGACGTTTTAAAGTACTAAGTCAACGTTCGCACGATGAATCGTTTCGTATTATAAGATTGATAAACTATTACCAATCTTAGATCTTGATAAGGGACAGAACTGTGAGCGATAATGCGGTAACGCGAGAACCATTAACGGTAATAGGACCCACCTGGGCGTAAGCGCCATAGGCGCCAAACTGATTGAAGACAAAAGGGTTAAGGAGGCTCATGTTCCCGGCCATTTGCTGCATGCGTCTTAGTTGTCTCTCTTTCTCAGTGTCCGCGAACTTTACCACTACGCTGGATGACGCACCCTGGAAAAGAAAAATACCCGTTATCGGAAAGAGAAAAGTAAAAGGAAGTGGACTTAAAACAACTTTTATATTTTATCTTTTTCTATTCGTCTTCTAATAAACGAGCACGGTTTATGACTGTAATTCGAACACGAAGTAACGTCGCTCGAGAATAAGGGAAAATTTCAGGATTTTGGTGTAACGGGGAAGAAATTCGTGCGCGATGTGCTCAGACTGATGGAGTCTTGCGACTACGACTACGACTACGACGACGACGACGACGACGACGACGACGACGACGGCGACGACGACGACGACGACGACTAAACTAAGGATGACTTAATCGGGCGTGTAGCCAGTATATACGAGCGACGATTATGTGGTCCTATCTGGGAAACCGGTTACATGGTTTATCACGTATGTACTAAGCCGTTCACAATGTAAATTGCCGTCTTATGTCAGGCTAGTCTGAACAGCGGGATCGAATAGTCCCGTCAGGCGTCTCGTATCCGACGTAATTTCCGTTAGTAGACACCGCACCTTGTATTTTAAGTCTCAACTCGAATAAGTTCGCAAAATTACTTGCATTGTGCGAAAGTGTTTTGTCGATGAAAATTAAAAAAAAAAATTTCTTCAAATAAAACCAACGATCCTTTAATGTCGTAATAAAAATGGCAATCACCAGATTAAATACAATAGATCATCGTAACGAGTATCTGTCATGATGGAAAAAAGTTTACGTATCTTTTCTTGTAAGAAAAGATGCGAACGCCTTTCGAGGCTCCTACAGAGGAGGGATACATAAGGCGATGATGCTCTCACGACGTCTAAAATATAAATGGAAAGGCAACAGGTGGTCAGTAGCCATTGTGGCTGCGGAGAAAAGCTTGGCTTTCGAGCTTCCCCGTGATATATTATATTCGGGTCATCAATGTAAATGCTGGGCGTGTTTGAGTTTATATAACTGCCGTAATATTATAACACAAGGACACGCGACATCGTAAGCTTGGCATGCATTTCCCTTTTTTTCTTTTTTTCTTTTTTTCTTTTTTTCTTTTTTTCTTTTTTTCCTTCAACTTTTAAAGCCAAATCTACGGAGATGTATGAATAAGTTTCAACTATATATGGATTTGCGAATGCGAGCGCATCCACGACACGCGCCTTTCTCGAAGAATACCCATCGATTTAGCAATCTCTGGAACGTGAATTCACGCACATACATATAGATAGCGATAAGATTTCACTATGCGATTCTTCGCTACCTCTCTTGCACCTTCGCTACCTCTTCGCTACCTCTCATGCGAGGAAAAAGTGCCAACGAAGATAATCGACGATTAAAAGAAAACGGCTCCAGCTTTGAAAGCTGACTAACAAAGTGCTTTTTCAACTCACACAATCGTCGCTCGCTAAACGCTTTGAATAATCAATGTATGCGGTATGTAGAAGTAGCAGCGGTAGCACCATCAACACCACGAACTCCGTCAGCCTTCCGGTCCGTCATTAACTTATTAGTGCTATGGGCACGTTTCGGTTAACGATCCATTACACAAATTAACACGTTGGTGGAGCAATGCGTTAGCCGCTGCTCGTCGATTGCGCGTGCATAAATAAATTATATGACCCGTACAGTTTACCGGAGTGAAGAGACCAAAAGAGAGTGGGCGAGAGAGAGAGAGAGAGAGAGAGAGAGAAATTCCGGCACGTTACTCGATAATTGCGTTGTTTCTATAAGATATACAACGCGTTTCTATTCGCTTTCGACGAAATACGATCGTCATGTTACCGTTTCCTACGATATTGATTCAGCGATTATTTGTCCGAGCAAATATCCCTTTAATGACGGCCTGCCCGTGATTCGATTGGACGAACCACGTACCATGTTGGTCGTCGTTAAACTCTCGATAACGTACTCGTGATAGACGTTTTGCTCGGTGTGTACCGATAGTAATTTACTATCGTTTAGAAAAACGGACTCTTGCCGATAAAACTTACTTCTCACAAAAGAGCTCGATGATCCGTTAGAAGATCGTGTACTTTCCCTTTGTCCTTTTCCTATCATGGAAATATAGAAATGTTTGTAGGCTCTAATGATTCATCGGTTTGACAGATCGAAACGTATAGACAAAGACAGAGACAGATAGAATTTCAAAGGTGCTTTTCATCATCGATGTAACTCGGATCAATCCTATGATATGAGCCTGTAATTTAATGACGTAGAGACACACGTCAGGTGCAGGAGAGTAACGCGATATATTCCACCGACTCGATTACAATGCTTGGGTGTAACGCATGTAGGAGAGGTGAAATAAAAGGAAGAGGATGAGAATCAAGACGAAGAGGAGTAGAAATCGTTGGGCACAAGACTAAAAGAGATATCCTTGGGAGATATTCTCTCAAAGGGAGGATAATTCGACGCAATATACTCCAGATCAGCAGCAAGGCACGTTGGTATCAACATCAAAGAACATTTCTCTGTACTTAGCAACGATCGAGTACGTAGATGATAATTGATAACGATATACATACACAAACAAACACGCACATATATATGTGTGGATTAATTAGATACGACACTCCATGCTGTAGCTTTCCTCCGGCAAATCTTTCTTCTTCCAAATCAGGTCAAATTTATAAATTCTTCGCGAATTATTATTATGGTGTCTTTCCAAAAGTTTACCATCATGTGTTCTTTTCCTTCGCCAATTTTACACGTTTTCAGGCCTGACATTTCTTTGACCCTATTTTTAAAATAAGGCACCAAGGGGGATTAACACTTGAATAATTTCATATATGTTGGGAAAATATTAAGGCCCTTTAGCTATTTTTATTTACTCGTACGTTAGACAATATTTTTATAATGCTCTATGATCTAGCAAAATGTAGCAAATTCGTCGAACTGAAAAATCTCTAGTGCATTTCATTAACGAGTGTAAAAATCAAATCGAAAATCGGAAGAGAGAAACGAATAAGCTATGACCAGCTGGTTTGTAATGTAGAAAAACGCGAGGTGTTGGAGAAAGCGTTCTTTGTGCGAACGGAATCGCTCGTGCAACTCGTTATATGCTCAGAGAATAACACGACACGTGTTGTGCAGGAAAAATAATTTGCCTCACACCACCGATAGCCTCGACACCGTGAAAGGTCTCTCTATCTCAACCCGCGTCTTCCTCTCTCTCTCTCTCTCTCTCTCTCTCTCTCTCTCTCTCTCTCTCTGTCACCCCTTTTCATATGTGTTTTAACGTCGATCTTCATGTGTGTTGTTAGCCTCTCACCCTACCCGACGAGCTTTCCAACGTATGTGACATTTACGCGCGTCAGATACATATATAGGTATCGACTTGCATGTGCGACAAGACAAGAAGGGAGATATGAGAAAGAGGGGAAAGGAGAAAGGGAGAGAGGTCGTATCAGACGCAACGAAGCCGAAGCTTCATTATTGGGGGATTACGGTTCATTAATTCCGATCCAACGTTCTGAACTACACGCGAAAAGGAAAAGCCACCCCAAGTGATATCATGCAGAGAGCGTTTGAAGCTGCTCCCTCCCTCTTTCCCTCCCTCTCTTTCCCTTTCTTGCTCATTATATATGTCCTACGTGTTATCGACTACTATAGTTAAAAAACATCAAAATTTTTCTTTCAAGTGTAAAGTTCCATTATCCGTCGTTTGATGCCCTAAAGTTAACCGATGATATTTCATACGTCTCTTTTTCCTAGTTGCCCGTTTCGATAGAAAAAGAGAACAAACGATTTCCACCTATTTGTTACCGTCGTAGTACCATTATTTTTCTCTTTAATTTAGGTGCGTGGAGCGGTGCCTAGCGAAGTTAACGCCGTGTAAGGAGGAGGAACGCCGCGGATCGATCGATCGATCAATCGATCGGTCCGTACGGCTCGTGATAGAAAAAAAGTTGTTCCATTACCGACGTAAAGCATTATGATCCTCCATCTTCATAATGTCGAGTTTACGCTTAAGCGGGATCCTTTAATGTAAAACGACTACGACGATTGTATCGAAAAAAGAAAAAAAATATCTCGATCGAGCGCTGCCAATCTCTCGAGGTTGCCGTATGTCGACGAAGCATATAGAAAGTTTGTAGAATTCACAAAGTCGTTTTTCGTTCGTCCAACATTATCGACCTTGCCAAGTGACGTGCGAGAAAACGGCAAAGGAAGAAGAGTTCTAAGTTCAGAAGAATTCTATATCAATATTATCCCACGCAGCAGCAATATCGCGGCGATATACGTATATCGCAAATCGTTTTCTCTTACATTTCTTTCTTTTTTTTTTTTTTTTTTTTTTTTCGTACAAATGTTTTTGTCTCTCATTCTCTCATCTCTGCACTATATACCAACACTATACCCGACGCTTTGCAGTTTGCGAACTGCAAATATTTGTCGAAGATCCTTTCATGTCTGAAAAATAATGCTTCGGGCCCGCTTTAAGCACCCCGCCGGCTGTTTGTTTCCGTCAAAAGTTTTTCTTTCGGCGCCAAGAACTGCCAAGACAAAGAAGGAAGCACAAATTCTATCTCGTTTAAGCGGCTTGTACGAGGAAACCTTTCCTCTTCCTCTATTACAAATTTTTCACAAAGTACAATTATATTACATGGGTGTTTGGCATGTAAAGTAAACAATTTCAACAATGACTGATTATAAATACGCAATCATCCTTTTATCATGGACGCATAGAGCGCGCTCGAATTTTTAGATTGTTGCTTTTCTTTTTTTTTTTTTTTTTTTTTTTTTTTTTTATTAAGATCGCGTTAATGCGTAGATGGATCGATCTATTAACTCACAATACGCTCCATATATCGAATATATATAGGAAGATTCGTCGCCAACTTCCAATGGAATGGCCCAGCCATCCGAGCCATTCCATTGGAAGTTTCGAAATGAGAAGAGAAAAAATGTCCGGGGATTATTTAGAAAAAGAAAAAAAAAAAAAAGGAAAACACCGTTTCACGCTCCTCTGAGATCTGTAAGACGGAGGAGTTGCGGAGGAGAGGAGAAGCAGGAGAAGAGAATACAATATCGACAACAGACGTACCAACGGAATGAAGCAATTATCTACTGATTGGAGGCTTTCCCGTTAGCCGCACAATCACACTTGCCAATCCACCGACTGGTAATTTCAATAGATACAACTCGAACCGCAAGACAGACCGGAACGCCTATTGCCTCTTGTCGATGTGATTCTACGATGGAACCTAAAGCGAGGTACAAACAATCCAATTCGACGATGTATTTCAAATTACCAGTTGCGGTTAATGCTAAAATCACCATAATTAGATGTAGATCCGAGGCCGATCGAAAGTAAGGGAATATAGTCAGGAATCAAGCGCGTTATTTTATATCACGATGTTTCCTTTCGATAAATAACGATTCGAGATCGAAAAAGTGCAGAAATTACTTACCATACACGTTAATATTCCACATGCATGCTCGCATATAATAAATACGAACAAAGAGTTTCAACTGTATCGTCCGTCTTTTCGAAATTTTTTGAAACAATAGCTTTAAAAACGGCAAATCTAATCGTTCAACATCAATTTGGCGCAATCGAAATGTTCAATTCGAAATGTAAATATAGGTTTCCGTGGCTTTCTCCCTTTCGCTTTAAATACGAGATATTTCGGGATCGCGGGAAAAGCAAAGGGTAGATATTGTGCGAGGCTAGGGAAAAGAGGGATATGCGTCGCGAGGCGTGACAAGAAATGTCATACGCTTCAGAAGGCATAACTAGTACAGTAGAGAGCAGGCTTCTTCTCTTTCTACCTTCTTCTCTCTTCCATTCTCTCGCATGCATACACCAATAACTGAAACACCAACTGCAAGAGACGGACCGCAAAACTGATAGAAAATATTGAGCCTCTGGAGAAATATTGATGAGATTATAGATTGTTTTCTTCCTTGGAACGATCTCAGAAATATTAAGAGTAATAATGTTATCGCACGAAAATCGGTATCGAAAGTAGCTGGATCAATTTATTACATTATTATGTATTATTAGAAACGTTACTTGCTGATTTGATTATTTTCCTATGAAGAAGGATTATTTGGATCAAATCTTTATACGATTATGATGATCGGAAAATAATAATACGCGGCGCGTGAAACGCGTAAAAGAATAATTTTGTTTGCCCTCGCTGAGCCAAGGTTGAACAACTTGCAATTTTCGTGCATTTTACTCTCGTTCGAATGGCGTATCACGAGGCGTATAACTATTTCCACTTGACATTTCAGGGAACCTAGGCTAGCCACTTGACTGCGACGTCTGTCGGTTAGAGGATGTCTGCTGCTTCACGAGAAGGTAGAAGGAAGGCTGGGTAGGAGGGAGGAAAAGGAGGTGGAAGAGCTTGATTCCAAGCCTGTAGGAAGGATGTCTAACCTGGAGCAGGTACGCACGAAGGATGGCCTGGTCAATGATGAGGAGACAGACAGAGAGAGAGAGAGAGAGAGAGAGAGAGAGAGAGCGGATACCCTCACAACGCTCGATGCTCTGTCCATCCTCATCTCCTTCTCCTTCCAACTGAAGGACCCTTGAAATATTCTCGCTAGATCCCTCATATCTACAAAGCGCTGGCACAATACGCGCATCCCTCGCTCTAACAGGCCTTAATCATGCCAAGGACCTTCCTCTAGTCGGCCGTTGTCGTCCTGCGATGCGATTATATCGTTCTCCTACCGAACTCTGCGAGTGTCGAACACCCGAACGAATTTAACGTCGTCACTTAATCGTTCGTCTCACCGTACCAAAGAAACTTCTACGATCATTCTATTCTCATATACATTATTTAGGGAGGAAGCAAAATATTTGCTACTCCTTCATGTATATAATGTACATTTTAGAATCCCTGTGCCCGAGGTATCAAGCCAGTAACCAAAGTTTTATCTAGGACTCTACCGTGTGCTTTAAATTTATCTCTCCTTTTAAGTGTCCGAATAAAGAAGATATTCTTTCATTATGTTTACCATCGTGACCGTAATAATTACGACAGATGCGTCATTAAATTAAAATTACGTAGATTGGTTGATCTAAATTTACATAGGACATTAATCACCATATCAATAGATAATTACCCTATTACAAATAATATCCCTAATTTGTTGAAGAATAAAAATTATCTTGGCCAATGACCACCTACTTTTCCAGACAGTCAACTTCTTCAGTTGCTAATGATATAAATGAGACACTTACTTTCTTAGAAATTTATCTTCGTATGTCATGATGCGAATCAGTACGGATTTCGGTTTATCAAGTATGAAGGTGTTCGAGCATTAAAGTGAGAGAGAGAGAGAGAGAGAGAGACAGAAAGAGCTATCAATTTCAAGAGTCATGATTTCTCAGACCCTCCATCATCGTGCGGCACGTCGTCGCCTACAGGTCGTTGGCGCGTCGTCGAGCGTTACGGTATCAGATTGCAAATCAATATCTTATTTCCTAGGTATGAGCCAAGATGTCGCGTTCGTAACGCAGTTTCTTGCCCGAGACGATGTCGAGACGCGTTGGAGAGAAAGAGATAGAAAGGGAGCAGATACAAGTATATTTATACATGTATATATCTACGTATCTACCAATAGGTATATATATATATATATATGTGCGCGCGCGCGTGTGTGGGTTTGTGTACGTATGCGTGGACGGATACGGAAAATAGAAGGGGTATGGTAGAACTTGTGGCAATTCGAAGGAAACCAGAGCGAACGTAGTCAAATCGAATTACTCTCGAGGTTCTGCTCCATCGTTATACGATGGTCTCTGTGCGAAGCGTTTTGCAGGAAGGGTCCTTTAATTTCGTGTAAATTAAGGACGGAGAATTATTTTTGGTTAAACGTATTTTCTACAAATGAATACGGCATATGCGTCCTAACGAAGTTACAAAATGATGATTAAAAAATGACTCTATAATTGACTAAATTCTTGCTTCTTTCGAAATATAATGTTAAATTCCGATATAAAATGTTAAATTCTTCTTAAATGATTTCAACTTTCACTCGATCGAATCCAAGCTGTTTCCGACAACGAGAGAGTACTCAGGTTTCGTTACGGTCGTATCCCTAAACGCGGAGCGGTTTCGTATGGTCTCTCGTCTTGCCTACCTCACTGCCGTCTCTAAAATCTCGTAACATCGGCGTCGAGATTTGCATAATTTGCCGCAATAATGAAGCTATCTGCATATTACGTCCCACTCGGTACTGGGATGACTTTTAGGAGCTAACGGTATACGAGTCCCAAAGTTCCTCCCTCCATCCCTCTCTCTCTCCCCTCTCTCTCTCTCTCTCTCTCTCTCTCTCTCTCTCTCCGCTTACACATGCTCACACCACCTTCTTCCTCCATTCAGCTATTAGATTACGACAATATAACGAGTAATATCCACGTTACGGGACCACAATTCCACCTGTCCTTTCTACTTCTCTGCTCTCGTTACTCTTCTCTTTTACTCCTTCACGTACCACTTTGTTCTACGACATAAATTATAATGTCAACTCTATCGTACAAAGCTGGTAAACTTTAAATGGGAATAGCGACGAATGTTTATATCCTGCTTTCGTCGTTTTCCAAATAAAAATCTAATCGTATGTTTGATAATTTCTTTACTTTTTAACCCAAGACTAATCATCCCGGCAATGTCATTAATATAATTCATTTTTCAAGCTAGATGAAATTAAGAATGCATCTAGATTTTTCTTCCCTTCCCTTGAGAAGACAAAAGCAGTGATACAATAGTTAGGGCCAAAAGTTTAATACGTCGATGAATGTTAGCCAACGATAGTCGATAAACAATAATTTCAACGGACTGTGAACGTTCGCATCCGATGGACCTCCAGCTTTACGAACTTTCGCCAATCAGCACGTGCAATCCCGGGTAGAACTCATTGACAATTCAATTACAACTAGAGATTCCCGGTCTCTAACACTAAGCCGAGAAAGTTTGGCGGTTTGACGAGGAAGACCGAGCAACTGGCCGCCTTCGTATACGTCCTCTCTCTGCCGTCATCTTCGTTGTCGTTGAAGACCGGTGGAAAGGGCCAAAGCTTTCTCTCTCTCTCTCTCTCTCTCTCTCTCTCTCTCTTCTAAGTGTTATGCAGATTTCTGTTTGGTCGATCATTACTAGGGTGTTTGTCGGTAGAACAGCCGCATTTCATCTTCCTAGGAACCTAGATCTTTGGCATCTTCCTTTAGCCTAAGGGGCTTCAACCCGAGAACGATATTCTCTACTTTAAGAATCACCCTTATCATATGTACCTGAGAGTACATTTCTACATACATACATATATACAAAACGAAGGATCTTCAGAATGAAGATATTTATTTTTCTACTCACCGGCATAGTTTGGCTACCGTGTAGAGAATTTATCGCCGCTAGTGCTTCTTGATGCGACGACAGCTTAACGAATGCGCAGCCTGAAACAGAAAAATGAAAGCACCACTGTACAGAAAGTTCCTTCGCACTTGCCAAATATACTTTTCGAATTCACCGGCTCGAAAATTCTCTTTCTTTCTCTCTCTCTCTCTCTCTTTCTCTCTCATTTGTTTCTTGCACTTTAGAGAGGTAATATCGAGAGAAGTAGATTCTTTTTTCTTCTTTTATGAATCTCGATGAGAAGTTCCGCGCGATACACACCGACACGCTCGGAAAGAAGTAAAAGCGCTTTTATATACGTTTTATCATCGTGAAAGATCCATTCGAAAAACGAGAGACAGGAGTTCCGTTTCAACCATTGTCGAGACCGAAAGAAAGAGAAGAGAGAGAGAGAGAGAGAGAGAGAGAGAGAGAGAGAGAGAGAGAGAGAAAGAGAGAGAGAGAGGGAGAGGGAGGGAGAGGGAGAGAAAGGTCTCCCGGCTTGATGATGGAACGATTAATCGCCCCTACTTTCCTACGTGCGCGCGCGCACCTGCACAAACATATATACGCGTGCGCACGCACATAGACACGAGTCCATCGTTATAGTTACATGGAAGACACGAAGACAAAGAGCTCGAGGGCGCTTTGAAAAATTGACGCGCCAACGGAGCGCGCAACGTGCACTTAATAAAGATGTTTACTGCGGACAGAGAAACGCTTCGTAATCCGGGACACACCGACGGCTTCGTCGGAGCAATAACGATTTCTATCGGCGTACTCGGGAGCCTGAATGATTGCCACCCTTTCGTAACCACCTACGCGACCTTCCAACTTGAAAACAATCTTTCGCTTTCTTTCTCTCTCATCTCCATACTACTCTTATTCCTCTTTCATTCTCCTTTATCCTTCTTTCACTGGCATTTTTACCGCATCATATTTACGAGTCGATTTCTTTTTTTATCTTGGGACGGAGAAAGCTCGCACGATGGAGGTTCGTGTTGACGTGAGAACATCGAGCAAAGGGTGTCGGGTTCTCGAGGACAAAGTCAATTTTTACGCGTCCCGCGTACGCGACATTTCCAGTGAAATCGATTAAGGACATATGTCGCTTGCATGGGCATCGTGAAAAATAAATTAAGTTCGATCGCGATACGCTAGTAGGCACGAGGAGAAAGGAGAACAAACGGTGGGACGACGGTGGTAGTGGTGGTGGTGGTGGTGGTGGTGGCGGCAACGACGACGACGAGCCGAGGGTTTGGCCCAGAGGCTTGAGGGGCATTAGGGCGAAAAGAGGGCGCCCTTTTCTCATACCTGCTGAAGTATGACGGGACTAACGTTTCACTCATTCCAGTTATCGAAGCTCTGGACCACCCTCCCGCCGTTTCAGGAACAGCCCTCGACATCTAGACTCTCTCTCTCTCTCTCTCTCATTTCTCCCTTGTTGTTCGGCCGACGTGAGAAGGCCAGAAGAAATAGGGAGACAATTTAAGGCTTTTGATCGATATCTCGCGTTTAAAAACTTTACGGTGCGTTGCTCAAAAGTAGAAAGAAGGAAAACAAAAGAAGGGAAAGAAGCAAGGATGGTAATAGATAGGTGTGCTATAAATATCGTCATTGTAATTTTAAATAAATTATAACGAGTTCGTTAACGAAGAATGAAATTAGATAAAAACATGAAACGTTTTCCCTCAAGCCTATCGAATTAATTCGAGCGATAAGTGTCCTAGCTATCGAAACGTTCGCTGACCGATATTACGTCGAAAAGACAAAACCGTTCTTTCCACTTTGTTACCGGCAGCTCATTAAGCAGCATTGTCTGACGTCACTATGCTCCTCGTTTACTACGAAGCACTTGTCCCGGACACCTGGCGGCCATTGTACCGATGATAATGTCGCGATGTCAAGCTCATGCCGCTACATTAATCACAGGAACCGGTTTCTCGAAAACTCTACGTCGCTTAACCAACGACGACGAAAACGTTATACTTCTCTCTACCACTCATGTTTCTCGACGCTTGGAATTCGTCGTCGTCGTCCTCCTCCAAAGGAAAAACCTTATCCACTTTTGGTCGATGTCAAAAGGGAGACCGTTTAATGAAGCTCGCTGTTCCCAAGCGAGTCGTATCTATGATTCTGGAAAAAAATGTCATAAAACGTTTGTTGAAAATATGCGCATAAAAAATTATAGCACGTTTTGGAAAAATTCCTCGTAACGAAATCTTCAATAACGCTGACATTCGCCGCTGTTAATTAAAACCGCGTCCGTTCTTTTTTTTTTGCATTTCTCTTTGCTTTTATTTTCTTTCTTTTTTTCTTTTCTTCATGCATACATCTAACATTTTACTTCTGTCGAGCAAAAACGAGCAATACAGGATAAAAATGAAAGAACAAGCTTAACGTTTGATTAATTCCATTTAGTACAGCGAACTTGTATAATTACTTTGTCACAATCAATTTGCATTAATGTGATAATCTGATTACGGCAAAAAATGAAATCGTAGACGATGCTGATGTTTCTTGGACCGACGAAGAAGAAATGTTCTGATTATACGTTGTCCTGGTACACGACGACTATAAAAATCTGTAGAAAGCTTCGAAAGCTTTCTACGAGTGAGTTTTCCCGGTGGAGTTTTCGAAGAAGATGCGCTCTTGAGATTTTTCTCGGCTGTTTTCTACATAGGGTAAGATTCTGAGGAAATAAAGGACTCGAAATTTTCCTTCGTTCTTGAACGTACACCATCGTATATATACATGTATAGGTATCTAATCTACTACGTGTGTGTATATATATATATATATATATATATATATATATATATATACAGGCACATATGTATAGATAGAGGTGGGGAGGAAGATATAGATCGGTTAGAGCATCTTCTGGCTGCTTCGGAAACTATGTTTGGCCTCCTCGAACAACGAAGAACAACAAACACTGGACAAACCGCTCGTCGAAACGCTCCTTCAATGTTAGATATCCGACGATGGCGTACTTTCGTGATTCGCCCACCCTTATTCGTTCTCCGTCAAACTCCAACCCTTCTTCTTCGTCACAGGCTCCGAACCCAATCGATAAAGCCTGCGAGACTTTCCACTCATATGCTTGATTGCTCGGCAAACATGCCTAAGTTTATCGTATGAGCCACGATGCTGTCGACTACCATCACCAACTCACACGTCTTACCTTCTTCGTCGAGGCTCTTTTGCACTTTGGAATTGTTTCGGCCCCTTGTCCGTTGCCCTTGTCATCTATTTGCAGTTTTCAACCTAACGATACGTCTGACGCTCGCTGTGGGTTTCCTTTCGAATATAATTTTCTTTTGGATCAGAATTAAAGCATACGTGTTGTAATAGATTGTAAGCTAATCACAAAGGCATTTTGTTAAAGTTATCAATTATAAGAAATAAATTTTACTTTTTACTATAAATGCGATATGATTCTAGCTAGTAATATTTAGCCTTTACCTTTGTACTTGTTTCACCCCCGTTCTAAAAATAACAAGACGTTTATATTCTATTCAGGCCTCTTCGTGAATTAAAGCAGCTTGGGAGAAGGCGCTCGATATTTCTCAAGGTGATGTTGGCCCTCTTTTTATGAGCTGCTAATCGATCTTGTATTCGCGTAGCTAGCAAGTTTCACTTCGAGGAAAACTCTCTCTATCAATGATGTATCGACGAATGTTCGAAGCAACGAGTTCGCAGACGAACGCTTTAACCCCTTCGAACCTTGTAAGCTTTATTCGCCGATTCGTACGTAAGAGGGTTTCCCTTATTGTACAATACTTTTTTATCGATTAGTTGGAAAACTTTTCAATTACTTGATAGTAATCAAAGATAAAAGTGAATAAGAAGGAGTTATTGTTTCACGTGGGACAAGCTAAGAACATTTGACAAAATGAAAGAGTTGAGGATTTGGAAAGCGGGAAGAATGGTTAAGTCGCAAGCAGATACGTCTGTGATTCGAAATAAGGCAGAAAATATCGAAAGCATTGGCGTACTCGACGGGCCCATATATATATATATATATATATATATATATATATATATGTATGGGTTGATTTTAAAAGTATTATTTAACTAACGTTTTGCCGACAATCGAATTTTGTTACGCGAGATATCCAGACGTCGCGGCAGGAATAATAAACTCGCTGGAATATCGATTTTGTCGCAAGTGACGTCATAGCTAACGGACTTGATCCACCCTCTATCCAAAAGATATCCCCTACACGTGTCGATCGTTGTTCTCGTGGCGTTTCTGTGTCAACGAAAGGGGATCTTATTATTTCGTTAATGGCTTCGAACTTGTTAGAGAAAAAACAGTATATATACTAACGATCGTGGGAAATGTGCGTGAGGGTGCGATCACGTGGGACGAGTCAGGTGGGATTTTGTATCTGGCGTCGTTCTTGCATAACCTTTCCTCGCATTCCATATCTCACATACATCGACATATGAGATCTATCATTATTGACGTACACGTTAGAGGACTAATGAAAATATTCGAATAAATGGTAGCTAAGTAATATTTTCTCAGATTATACGTCAATTATCTTCTCGAATCATAAAGCCGTTAATAATGATGACGATGATTTACGAAGGTTACTAGAAAACGACCCCCAACGAATCAATTTTATTAACCAGGCTACTAAATCTGAGCTAGCGCAAACTCTCGTAAATTGGTGCCGCAGCAGAATTTACAAAGTAGATAGACGCGGAGCTTCGTCGAGACCTGGTCCAGTAGTACTCTTGCACCAGTGAGTTGCAAAAATATGCGTCAGGGTTGCGCGTTCCTCTTGCACGCACATAGGCAAGCGTTTCGACAAAGAGGGAAGCGAAGGGAGAAAGGGATTAAAAACGCTGACAAAGTTACGAAACACTCGTATGCTCGGCCCTTTTTATATTCGCGAGATGAAACCGAGGCGGTGCAACGTACATCAAAAAGAGAGAACACACGAGCAAGAGAGAAAGAGTTGGGGACGGGTGGAGGGGTGGTATGGTTAAAGCGCGAGAATGGAGAATATATACGAGAGGTTTGGACGAAGAGGAGAGCAGAAAACCG